ATGTGGATTCGACGATCATTGTCCCTATAGTCGTTAGCGTAAACGGTCTCATAGCGAAGAGTCTCGATCAACATCTAAAGAGCCTATCGCTAGATGGTTGGGTCAAGGGGCAGATGCAAAAGGCAGCACTCCTGGAAACGGCGCGCATCGTCAGGCGGTTTCTTTCTCTGCGGCCCTAACCACCGGTAGCTTGGGCCTCGCTCCGCTGCTGGTGGCCTTCTAGGTTAGGTTTTTTATACTATATTTATTTTTGTATTTACGTTGTTGTATTTTACTTTTATATCTATTTTATAAAAAACCTAACTTGTGAAATGAAATAAATGAGAGTACAATAATAAATAAATTTACCCAAAAAATAAGTGGCCTCCTCATGGCCACTGGATACTCCCACCTGGATAAAAAAAATACACTTCACATACATCATCAAATTAGCATACGCATTTTTAATTTTATCAACATTTATTTCGAACAGATGCTCCTCAATTATTCCATTGCGTATGCGTAAACTTTTAATGACCGTATTTTTTATGTTTAGATGAACAACGCACAGGCCGCGAATCGCGGCGGATGGCGGTCGCGCGAATGTTAATTTGTATAGGCATAAAGGCACGACAACGCACTGGCATCCGCGTACCGTCTATATTTACAAAGTAGAGGTCGCCCGCGACTTCGTCTGCGTTAACTTAGTTTCTTGAAAATCCCTCTGGAACCTAACATTTTTCGGGATAAAAGTAGCCTATGTGTTAATCTAGGGTGTCAGCTAACTCCATACCAAATTTTATTAAAATCGCTCCAGCCGTTTAGACGTGAAGAAGTAACAAACATACACACTCACATACTCACACACTCACAAACTTTCGCCTTTATAATATTAGTGTTATTAACATCCACTGCGGTTCGCGGCTCGTGCGTTGTTCACCTGAAAAGTTGGCGAACAAGCGTATGATTCGCCTTATGGTAAGTGGCCACCATAGCCTGTTGACGCTTGCGATACCAAAACTATCACTCGTACCGTTGCCTACCCTGACCCAATCCCCTACTCCGTGGAGCCCTGGATTACTCAGCAACAGAAACACAATTCTACCAAATGGTAGTGTTATTGGAGGAGCTCGATGGCGCAAGTGGTTAGCGCGTTCGGCTGCGATGGTTGAAGTTAAGCAACTTTCGCAGTAGTCGGTCATTCGGTCATCGGATGGGTGACCAAAAATTTCTCATCTTGAGCTCCTTCGTGTTTCGGAAGGCACGTTAAGCCGTTGGTCCCGGCTGCATCTGCGGTCGTTAGCACCCAGCATCCGCAATGGGCCCGCGAGGTGGGTCATGTGGCCCAATCTCCCTATTCCATCCACAGGGAAGGCCTATGCCCCAGCAGTAGAGACATTAATCATCAGCCTGATGATGACTATCTGTAAGGTGAAGGTTATTTTCCCAGATTGGTACTTATGACAATTGAATTTTTTTGTGTACTCATGAGCTTCTTTCGAGGCAAGTAAAGTTCCGTTCTAAGTTTCTTATTAAATAGGTAAGATCAGTTACTCATTTTCTGCCACCCCGTGGCTGGGATTAACGAATCAATTTGTGTTAGTTAACTTAACAGAATATTCCGAATAAAGATATTGTATTCAAATGTTAACAAACAAGAGATCATCAATACGTGAGTAGGCATTAAAATAAAAAATAAAATAATTGCATCGGTCTGTCTCCTCCCACCTGCGTTTAGTCATCCGCTTGTTAGGACAAGTTGCGTAACTTATTGTCCGCTATTGCGATTTTTCTCTGCATAGGTCAGATTTGTCGCAATTCCGCCGAGTGACAACGCAATAAATGAGACTAAATTATGACTAACAATTTACCGTCGAATGGCTTAGGTATGTGGAAAATAATAGATATCTTTGATAGTTATAATAGATTTTTGTGATGCTATATTACCTACTTACAATGTTGTATGCAGAGGCATTTCCCCTAGGGAAAAAAAGGGTCAGGCTGCGAGGGGTGGCTGCGGACTGCGCGAGGGGTGGCAGATGTCGTCACCGACCTATATTTTGATTTGAACAGTAAAAGTAAATCTGGGCAGATAAATGAGAGACAAAAAGATCGCGTAGCATTTAGAGTAGTGGACGACCTCCGTGGTCGAGTGGTTTATACGCCGGGTTTCATGGTGTCGCCGTCTCGAGAGATCACGGGTTGGAACCCGGTGGGGGCAGATGTTTGTGTGATGAATATGCGCATTTGTACTCCAATCATGGATGTTTAAAATTTATTTCTATATAAATATACATATATATGTACAATATTTGTATTCTATTCGTATCCAATAACGCGAGCCTTACAGTGCTTACTTTGGAGCTAGACTAATTGGTGTGAATGTTGGAAATATTCATTTATTTAGATTAAAACAAACAGGGTAGATACGGCACTCGCGGCTTAAAAGTGATCCTCTTAAATTATGGTGCATGACCATAATTCGCTTTAGTCACAATTGGACATTCAAACACGCTGCATGTGCACTCCATATAACAACATTGCGTATATTCTGTTATGAAGATAAAAAAATGCCTTCGTAGATTTTATAAAGAACACAAATAGTTCAAAATCAAATAACAAATGCCTCGGCAACACTTCATTCGTAAAACTGTAATATCTTTTTTTTTCTAAATTCACGGTTTGTCGTGAATGTTATTTACTTAATCGCCATTTTGTTATCAAGAAAAGGACAACAATACGCTGCGTTGAAGCGTATAGTTCTGTCTCGCTCGCTCGAAGGAATGTTTATATACAGACGTGTGCGTGTGTGAGAGTTGCTTATGTAGTTGAGTCGGATCATATTTGATGTTAGTATGAGCGTACCGTATCCTCCCTTTTTGTTTTAATCTAAGGTGTGGCCAATTAAATAGTTCGTATAGGTATTGATTGCACATTATTGCACCATTGCTTTTCTTTCCTTCCAAAAAGTTGTTAGTTTAATGCGAGTTTTTCTCAGTGCACTCTCTAAGCACGTTCGCTTCCTTAAGCGGGAGTACGGAGCGGATTTGTTTCATGTTATTTCATTGAGCAGCGTTGCGTAATGCTGTTACATCGAGAGGGTTCGACAGTCCTATTTAAAAATCGCTACCTGCTTAAGGACGCGTCTACAGCAGCAGCAGAACGTGGCCCTGAGGATAATAACTCGGGCCCAACGCTATGTCCTCAACGATGTGATTGCAAGAGATCTAAAAATGGAGCCAATCGAGGACTTCGTGACTCGCCTATCACGGCTGATGTTCGACCGAGCCGACCAAGGGCCCCACACCCATTTACAGGGTATAGCCTCCATTCCCATTAATTCTGCTTGCCCCACAGACACCAGGAGGCGGAAACCAGCACTGCGACCACCACCTCGCAGCCTGCTCTCGCCGTCTCCCAGCCCCAACCTTATCCCAATCCGGCCTCCCCCACCACCCCAACCCCAATAACAACTCTGTTCCCCACTTGCGTAAAAAGCGGCCTGCTCGCTGGCGGTAGCTGGGCCTCCCCCCAGGGGGTCTCACCCGGCTCGGCAGACCGCGCTGAGGGCCGCGTTGCAAGTCTCCAGGCGAGAGCAGAAAATCAACATCGTCGCAAGACGGCCGCTGAAACGGCACCCGACCCCGCGGGGGCGCACCCCCGCGAGAAGCAGCCCGGGGAATGAAGAAAGCACTTCGAACCCGAACCTGTCGGAAGAAGACAAGACCATGAACGTAAGGACTTCAATAGAACCGGGAGGCGGCCTTTACTACAGACTAGCCCTCACAATAAGTTTGCAAAACTTCTTGGAAAAAAAATAAAGCTTTACGGGAATACACCTCTAACAGTTTGCAAAGTTTATAGCAAAGACTTTACGGGAGCAAAGCCTTAACAAAATCACCACCCGTATATCTCCCCCCTAACCTTAATTTTACTCAACATCGACATCAGTCGGCAAAAACAAAAAACATAACTATCCCTAGCTATTCCTTAAATTACCCGGCGCCTCTACCATGCGGCGATCTACCCTGAAGGGGTAGACCCTGGGAGCGTAGCAATAATAATTAAAATAACTTTGATTTTATATTTTGTTTTATTAGAAATCAGGCGAATATAATAATTGAGCAATCAAAAGGAAATCTTCTATCAAACGACAGAAGATTCCCAATTTCAAATCTTTTTAAATCATGACATTACCTTTTTAATATAACTGCCAGATATGGAAGCGAATTTTCGCAACGAAATTGTGCCATAGCATTATAACCTTTATGTCAAATGTTTAATGCGAATGCATTTAAACTAAATACGAGGGAATAAGAGAGCGAGAAATGAGAATGCGAGAGCACTCCCCGGAAAACGCTGGACCATCATTTGGCTCGTATTTAGTTAGTATATTTTATAATTGACATAAAGTTCAAAATGCTCTGCAAAATATCGTTGCAAAAATTTGCTTCTATGCCATTCCGCGGTAGTATAAATTACGTTACTCTTTGCCTTTTGAGAGGTAAAAAAGCCACGACAATATACGATAGTAATATATTTGTTTTGTTCTTCCAATCAGTTTTTTATATCTGGCTAGGTAGGCAAATGACTCTACCCCACCCGATGTTAAGTGGTGATAAAGTCCAAACGTGAAGATAGCTGGTACAGCAGTTAGAAACTGCCAGACCAACCATCCTCACCTTACGGGCCTGCAAAAATACTTCTTCACACCTCTCTTAAAGGACCCCAGATCGTAGGAAGGAGGGAACACGTGCGCGGGCAAAGAATTCCACTTACGAACAGTACGACAAAGAAATGAGTCACCAAATTTCTTTGTTCGTGTAGGAATAGTGGCCACAGTAAGTCGGTGGTAACGTAGGCCAGCGCGCGAGCTCCTCTGAAGAAAAGGTGATGGAGGGATAAGGGAGAATAACTCCTCAGAACACTCACCGAGGTATAGATGAATAAGGTTATTTTCTGCTCCATGTATAAATAATATATATAAGAATACAAATACAAATATACATACAAATTAGGTACATTAAAAACATTTTTTATTTTCTCTAAAACATTATTATTTGATCTATGTACAACATAAACATAGGTAAGTATTTAAAACATTTATTAGACATCTACTTATGGTAAACTTTTATGTTAGTCGCATTTTTAAACTACTACAAAAATACTACTAAACAATAAAATCTGTCTTAATAATGGCCTTGGCTTACACTTATAATTTGGCACATAATTTTTCATATTGTTTATTTCGATCAGTATAAATACGCTTATGGAATCATCCATTAATCAGGTCTGACAAAAAATTATGAAATATCACAAGGAGAGGGGAGGGATATAATGAGAGATAGTACAAATAAAATAGGTACTTTACTTGTGATGCATATATGGGTGTTAAATTGTACAGCCGTGATCAGCCCCATTTGACATAAAAGTGTATTTCTTTTTCGTTAAACGTACGATTCCTAGACTAATCAGCTGCGCGTGCCCGGCTTCTTGCCAGGCAACAATTTAAATGTAAAATTCTAAAAATATAAATATACTTCATATAAAAAAACAAGTGACTTTGTGTATAGGGGGAGAGGTAGTCTAAAGCTTAAACCAGAAAGGGGGGGGGGGGGGGTTAAAAGTTGCTAAAAGCATCACGTGATTAATATGCCACCAACGATATTAAATACCCTAGATACACCAATAAGAACAAAATCGTGCCCAGAACCTGTCCAAAAGGTACATTGGACGATCTTCGGAGCTCCGTAAGATGATCGCGTAGTCAAAAACAATATAATACATTATTTAAACATTGATTTAAACATTGAAAGTCACCTTTAATGCATACTGTATAAGGTCATAATTAAAACGCATACGTCAAAGAGGTATGACAGTTCGAAATGCAAGCTCGTAAAATTTTACGAGTTATTGCTACCGACCTTATTTCTTTGACTACGCGTAATTCCGAATGCGCTGTTAGCAATATAGCAGGTACAGACCGCGAGGAATAGTGACAGCTATATTACCAACCATGTATTTGGATATATAAATATTTTCTATTAAATTTGTTTATAGTATACACTTTACGTACTATAAGAATGTTTTTCAAAATTTTTCACGGAGCTGCGGCATGTTAAGTTTTCAACGGTCTGCACTCGACTGTTAACCAAGAAGTTCTTGAGAGTTGTTCAAGCACTTCTTGATTGGGACACATTTTTAACGCACATGGTGTATCTAGGGTATTTAATATCGTTGTGTGCCACCCCCAATATGAAAGCGTCCATTATTCTATTTATTAAATACAATATTCAGTACGTTTCTTAATAAAGTCACTAAAGACAATTCTTGTAAAAATCTCTTTAGATACATAGCATCAATATTTTTTTAACCAAAAAATTCATTAGTATTTCTACTAAAATGACACATATAAGTATCTCATAACTCATCTATATGAAGTAGAAGGTGTGCGGCTGCAATTCCAGCTGCGCCATCTTAGCAAGCAACCTATGTAGCCGTCGATGCGTACGCGCAGCAGATCCGCCCGTCACTCCCCCGCTAGCATTAGTTCCTGCACCGACTCCCGCCCCCGCGTATGTTCGAACCGCTTCCGGTTTCACATCGCGACACACGTCCAGACGCTGAGCGACGTGGCGAGGCATCTACAAAGAGCACAAAAGTGTATGCCTTTATTACTTTGAAAAAAAACTTAGGTTTTTATTTTTTAAGCATTTAAAGTTTGCTAGAAAAAAATCCACGCGGACCAGGTAGCAGACGGGATTCGAACCCGCATCCTTCGCTATCCGGGCGAATGCACTGACCATTATCCTACCGCGGCCCTGACGGCCGTGTCGAATTTTTCCTAGCCTTAAGCTGTAAGGCAGCGCCATCTCTTCGCATTGTAGGTAACCCACAACCTACCTACAATGCGAAGAGATGGCGGCGAGCAGATTAATGCTAACAATTTACAAAACTATTTTTTACTTTTTCCACGTTCAAGATCTATGCGAACTTTGTCAAGCCCGCAAATATAGTAAATGGATTTAAATGTAAAGTAAAACAGAGACGAAGCAGTCGGGCGGCACATAATTTGTCCTTTTTTGTCTGTTTGGTTTTCCCCTCTTGTCAGAGTTGATAAATTCATACGATTGGCACTCAATCCATTCTCTTTGGTTTGCTTGCCATACATGTTATATGCCTTGTTATTACATGACTAACATCCATATTTAGAGCCGTACCCGTATTCACTGTTTTTCAAAGTGACCTGCTGTGTTTGATGCACAGCATAGACTTAAATGGAATTAACGTCTCTGAATACGAAAGCAATGATTATTAATGAATTTGGTAAAAAATATATATTCAAAATCTTTTTTAATCATGCAAAAGGAGACCTTCAATTTTTGCCTAATTTTGTACCTTGGTACTAATTATCTCAAAAGCATAAAAAATTATACTTAAAAAGACACACCCATCAAAATCTCAACAAGCTCAATAAAAATTTTGCTGAAAATCTGAATTAAAATATGCGTATAAAGAAACGTTATTAATTAAACGAAAATTGTAATTGACTGACAGATGACAGCTATATAATCTATTGGTTTAAATTCATTTCCGTGTTTGCGATTGGTTGTATCAAAAATCACGTGATTTCTGTACCTAATTGTCATTAATGAAAGATGCATATGTTATATCTGTTGCTATTAATTTAAATGTTTGAACGTCAATTCTATGTGTTACAAGTGAATAATAAACTCTATTTACATTTTTAGTTGATTTCGGCGTATTTTTCTACATATGATAATATTTGAGGTACAAAATTGGGCGAGTTCATAATTTTTGGGAATTAATAATATGATTAAAACTAAAATGTGATTTGGAATGCTTACATTAAACAGAGGCGAATGTAGTATAGGCGTCCACAAAGGCAGCAATTTGTTTAACACCGTAGAGTTACATTCCAGTAGCGATTCCAACAGGCTCAGGAAATGCAGATTCACTGTCTCTGCCAGCTGAGGAATAAACAATATATGTACATTTATTAATTTAGTATTTTCCATTTACTATTTACAACTAGCGCTAATAAATAAAGAAAATCTAACATTACGCACTCTGCCTATTTTGCAAATTATTTCTGACAGAATGTGCAAGGGAGAAAATATATTGGGGGGCGGCTTGTAACCGGTCATAATAAGGTGACGATAATGGTAAGTGCTTTATTAACAATAAATAAATAGTACACAAATTACAGTAATAAATAAAACTGAAAGAAACAGTAACATACTATAATCTGCGGTATTATCGGTAAATAGTTTTATCTAACTGTGTTCTCATACTTTGGAAAATATTATTGAACTGCTAAAGCGGCGGCTAATAGGGAATATGCATTATTATTTTTTATATTTTTATTATACATAGTTTACATTCCTTTAACATAGTATAAAAAAATACAAGGTCTTAATATTTTTGTAATGGGTCTATTTTTTTTAAATAGCCACTTTGCACTGGGGTTTTAAACGCTCGCTGTTTTGAAACGTGGTGTGACGTCACAGTCTATGGTAACCTAGCAACAAAACAAACAAGGATCAGAAGGTTAGGTGCGCACGCACTACTCACTCGCACTAGATCTGGTTGACTTTGACATGCAGTTAATATGGTGCTTGTTTGTTGATTTGTTGTTATGTATGTCTACTTCACAACCGCACTGTCGCATTCCAAAAGTTTTTCGCAATTTTTAATATTTAATTACTAGCTCAAAAACAAATTACATAAAAAAATATTGATAAAGAGCAACGATATTAAATACCCTAGCTAGATACACCACGAGCGCTCAAAGTGTGTCCCAATCAAAAAATGCTTGAACTCCACTCAAGCAGTTCTTGGTTCACAGTCACGCACAAACCGTTGAAAAGTTACGATGCCACAGAGCTCCGTGAAAAAATACGAAAAAAAATACTAATGGAACGTAAAGTGTCGTTTATTCGACAGGTATCTAATCAATTATTGTTAATGTAACGCATTTGAAGAAATTTTTGTTCTAATACTTACTATAAACTGATTTAATATAAAATATTTGTGATATTCAAATGCATGGACGGTTAGACGTCGCCGTTTAGCCCTCTTTTTCTCGCGGTCCGTACCGGCTATATTGCTAACAGCGCATTCAGAATTGCGCGTAGAGTCAAAGATATAAGGGTTACATTCTTCCGCGTAAAATTTTACGAGCTTGCATTTCAAACTGCCATAAGTCTCTGACGCATGCGTTTTAATAAAGACCTTATACCGTATGCATTAAAGGTAACTTTCAATGTTTAAATTATGCCCTATATTGTTTTTGAACACGCGATCATCTTACGGAGCTCCTTGGATCATCCAATGTACCTTTAGGACACGTTTCGACCACGATTTTGTTCGTGTAGTTGTTGTATCTAGGGTATTTAATATCGTTGATGAAGACACGGCAGTATGTATATATACGGTGAATTTTTTCTAGTAAAATTTTCTTTAGACTTAAACATCTAGCAGTTACATGCTTCAAAAGAACAAGTATAAGTTTATGTACAATAAATTTCAGCCTTATTTGAATTACATACATATTCCCTATTAATTATCAAAGTGCGAGTAAGTGAAACATTCTATACAATGTGGCGGACTTTATTTCAACCAAACAGTAAAACAGCTCATCATCGACCCGCCATAATACAAAGCGGCTCCATTTTTAGATACATTTAGAATTTAATATCCATTCCGCATAAAATAACTCACCAGTTTGGAATGCATGGTGACTTGCAACATTGGCGGCACCAGTTTGCACCAAAACTCGAGTAGTATACACAGTGTAGTATTATGTGGTTCACTGCTAGGTGAGCTGCTTCCAGCCAACTCTTCGAGGTACAGAGTCCACAGTTGGCAAAGTATGAAGGCGTGGAACAAAGCGTTCATCCGCTGTCCAGTCGGCTTCGATTGTTCGATGTAAGAGGCCATTATAGTCTGTAAGAGATAAGGTAGGATTATTGTATTTACAGTATTGTGTGTTAGGTAAACAGCGGTGAGAGTGGGAGGTAGTTGATTATTTTTAGATATAAATGGGTAGTTGGCACAGAACACACAAAGAGGTTAGAAGGGTGATTATTTGTACGGAAACCGATGTTGCCACTTCCACGTCGTATGATAGCCAATCAAACGACGCCTCATCAAACAATTGAACCAATCAGCATTCACGCCCGAGAGCAACGACGCAATCAGAACCAAGTTTTATTCAAGTTATAAGCATTTGCACATAACTGCGGCACGCCTGCCCCGCCCACAAGGTCATTCTAACCATTTTCTGTGTTCTGTGGTAGATAGTGAATCATGAGTAAAAGGTCAGATAGTAGGGGATGAATTACAAATGCCTATGAGTGATGTGAGTGTCGCGATTGTAATTATTTTCAGGGACGGGGAAGCCATTTCTCTGGCTACTTTTTGTTTTATAGTACCTAATAGGTAATAGGAGATGGTTAGTATGGGTAGATGATGAGATGTGCGGACTGCGTATGTAAGTAACTTGTGTATGTATGTATTTAAGGGTTTTCTATACCTTGTATTGCTTTTGTGTTTAATTAAAAATGTTACCATTTCTCTGTCTGTGCCGAATCAATGTTTCTGATTTGATTTGAAGCGATAAAAATGGTAGTGAGTGATGTATAGTTTGTGGCACGTAGAAAATAAAAGCCACATTCTTCCATATAACACACCTGGATATGGTCGGTCATTTGGCAGATGGCATCTTGAGGCACTGGCTGCTGCAGCGGCAGATTAGCTCGTACGTTACAAAGAGCTCCCATCATCAACCACGATACCAAACGGATTCTGCCAACCCCTCGCAAATGAGACATATTGTTCTGTATAACACACCTGAATATGGTCGGTCATATGGCAGGTGGCATCTTGTGGCACTGGCTGCTGCAGCGGCAGATTAGTGCGCGCGTTACAAAGAGCTCCCATCACCAACCACGATACTAGGCGAACTCTGCCTACCACCTCGAAAATGTCGCGCGATCTACACAAACAATTATATTAAACAAATAAATAAAAACGCGTTTGCGCTGTTCATATGCGAAAGAATTGAAACCTTTTGAAAAATAAATAATAGCCTAAAATATAAAAATAACAGCTTTAAAATGAGCTTAGCTTATCCAACTGTAAAAGTAAAAAAACAGTGTGTTTTAACTATAGGTATTCTGTCAATGTCATGCGAGTGTCGCTGAATCTATTTTCTATGTATCTGATGCTTAAAACTCACCCAGGTATAGACACCGCCAGCCAGGGCATGTGTCTATGGGCAGGTCTGTCTTGTCTACCGCGGCTGTGCTCCAGAGCCAGCTCCATGGCGACATATTGAGCTATGCCCCCCTTCACTATGGCCCCTAGAGTGTCCTCGTTCAAGCAGATCAGGTTGCGGTTCACTATGGACTTGGAAACTGAGCCCTGTGTGAAGGGAAGATGGTAGTTTGTTTATTTGTATTAAACAGGATAATTTTTAAAACTGGTAAAACGCGGGGGGAACTTTAAAGTTTTTTCGTTACCCCAGACCTTTCAAAAGTTTACACAGGCTCCGTAGTTGCAACACAAAAGTTATTAATGCAACTGTTGCATAATGAGGGGTATTAAAACACGAATGATAATAGTAACACATGAGTGTTTTAATATCTAATAAATAACAGTTGCATACAAGACTTTATCCATACCCATGAATCCTCTATAAAATATTTTGAATACATGGGCCGTTTTAAGAAATAAGAATTCATTTTTTGATCAGCAAGCTTAGGGCTTGCTCATCAATTAGGGACTTAAAAAGGGAAGCGTAATGATTTTTTTTTTAATTATGATATTAGATGTTTTAATACTTTTGGATTTAAAGTCTGGAATAAATGATTATTATTAATATTGACAATAAGCCAACTGTTTCAGAATCTTCAATAGAGGTTTTAGTTTAGAGCATGGGTGTAGATAAAGTTATAAATCGCTTTTGCACTCGCTTAAAAAGTGTTTTATCAGATAATAGGGTATTTGATAAGTTTTAGAAAACGATCTTACTTTATTAACTAACGTTTATGGAGTCCATAAATGGTAGTCATTATGTTGCTCATTCAGTCTGCTATCGTGGAAGTTAAGCAACTTTCGGAGTGGTCGGTTATTGAATGGATGACCATAAATCTTCTATCTCGAGTTCCTCCGTGCTTCGGAAGGCACGTTAAGCCGTTGGTCCCGGCTGCATCTGCAGTCGTTAGCACCCGCACTGGGCCCGCGTGGTGGGTCATGGCCCAGTCTCCCTATTCCATCCATTCCATTCCATAATATTCCATATGCTAATGATGATGATATCTTTAGATCTTATATGTATGCTCTCATCTTATATGCCTTCTCCAGTCGCCAGCCTCGCTTCCGGAAGCTTGCAGCAGTCTATCAAGGCTGCTTTTCTTCTGGACTAACCTAGGCTGGCTAGTCTGCTGGAATATTGCAAGACACGCAAAATAGTCCAATGATTAGGACTAAGTGCGGAAACCGTCCTGAAAAACTAACTAACATGTATGCTCTCACCTTGATCTTGTTGAGTAAGTGCGGGTCCTGCAACAGTTCCAGCATATCGGCGAGATGTGGCCGCATGCAGTCCACGGCTCCGCTGCCCAGTTCTCGGGCTTCACCGGCCGCTCCGGCTAATAATTCTCCGGTGTGAAGTTGCGGTGGAAGCACTAGTGTACAGCCGTGGCCTGAACACAGATATTTTAATATATTTAAATACTGTCTTAAGTTCTACATCTTCAGTTATGATGTTCAAATATTTTTATTTTTTATTTTATTCCAACACATCACTTAGCCTAGCCCCAAAGTAAACACGGTAAGGCTTCAGTTATGGGATACATAAGTATATTTATATAGAAATACATATTAAAGATCCATGACTGGAGTACTGCTCATATTCATCATACAAACATCTGCCCCTAGGGAGTTTCAAACCTGAGACCTCTCAAGTCGGCGACACCAGGAAACCCGGCATATAAACCATTAGGCCATGGAGGTCGTCGATCTAATAAGTTACTCTGTATTAGATAGATATACCATAAATAACAAGAAATTGATTTAAATTCATATAATTTTTAATTGATAGTTAGGCCCAAGTACGAATTTTGACAGCACCATTATCGTATTGCATCGTCAAAGTTTCTATAAAAACTAACTTAGCAGCGTTCCCTATCGGACGTAAAAACAAACTTGCTTTTTCCATACAAAATTTAACGAGGACGATAAGTTACGGAACTGTCAAAAAGTGCATGGGCCTCTACCCTCAAAATGGCAAATAGCAAATACGAATAGCCATATGGAATGCCAACATGAAAAAGTAATCTTCCAATGAAATATCCGAACGCTCAATAAAAGTCTTTCGAAGGTAGCTCGACAAAGTTGCTTCTCCCGGCCCGTCCTCGCTTCGCTTCGGTGTAGAGCTGAAGTGTAGACTATAGTTTTTGTTCTCAGGCTTGTATTATACACAATGACATTCATCTATGATTCTTCTTGGACCTGCATGCAAAGTCTCAGACCGATCGGTTTAAAATTGACAAAGTTTCATACAAACTTTCATTCCCTATTTTATCCCCTTGGGGGTAAATGCCTACGTACATCTACCTGTATGCCAAATTTCAGCCCGATCCGTCCAGTGGTTTGGGCTGTGCGTTGATAGTTGACCTTTGCGTTTTATATATAAGAAAGATTAAAACAAATTCCGCTATCCCACACTCACCTTGAAGCACGTACTGTATCAGTATAAACAGATTGTCATCAGGAACAGTGCTCTTAGTCCTCAGAGCTTGCACCAGCTCGTAAACAAGCACTCTGCATACGAGCAACTTGTCTCTGTCTCGACTAAACGCCCTCATACAAACTACGGATAGTTCGGAAATCACGGACAGTTTCACCACGAAGTTTTGTATGCCGTAGCTGATGATCTTCGATATTGGCTCCAGGATGCTCTGTAAGGGAGGAAATTTTATGTTTTACTTGGTTTTTCTTTGAAAGCAATCGCTTAGGAGCCATTTCTACGGACGAGAGATTCACGCAAATAATCTAAGAAAAAAATGTATTGGGAAATTCCCAAAAGGGAATATTATCATAGGAATACCAATTTATACTGCATGGAATACATTGAGGCATTCTATTGCGAGTCGGTACATTATTATAGAAATTCTATCAGCCCTGGAAATGGCATCCAAAACAATAACTGTATCAATAAAGGTCAAGTATTTGTTATTGTGATTTTTTAAGATTAATGAATGTACTGAGAAATGTCATTTAAAACTAAAAGCAAAAAAAGAGACAGCACTGACTTTAATCACACTTAAAGTTAATGAACAAAATTTTTTTATGAACCATCAAATGAAATGAAAATTTACCAATATTATGAAAAATCGTAAAATGACCACTTGGAAGAAACACGTTTATTTCCAAAATGAAGAATAATTTATAAATGAAATAGATTTAAGATGTCCAACCAATGTAGCCATTTTAAACCAGCCCTCAGCAGCGGCATGACGTCATCCAACTGCTGCAGCCGCAGCCCTCAGTAGCGGTATGACGTCACCCAACTGGTGTGCAGCCCTCAGCGCCGACATGACGTCGTCGGACTGCTGCAGCAACTGCTGTAACGTATAAATCACCTTTTGCTGCACCGCGGCCGGGAGCCGCAGCCTTCAGCAGCGACATGACGTCGTTCAACAGTTGCAGCTGCAGCACTCAGCAACTGCATGACGTCACCCAACTGCTGCAGCCGCAGCCCTCAGCAGCGTCATTACGGTACCCAACTGCTGCAGCCGCAGTCCTCAGCAGCGGCATGACGCCACCTAACTGCTGCAGCCGCAGCCCTTATCAGCGACATGACATCGTCGGACTGCTGCAGCAACTCACCTTATGCTGCGCCGCGGCGGGTAGTCGCAGCACTGCAGCCGCAGCCCTCAGCAGCGGCATGACGTCGTCCAGCTGCTGCAGCTGCAGCGCCGTGGAGCGCAGTAGAGCGTCCAACTGCTGCAGCAGCGGCGCGCAGGCGCTGGGCGGCCCTAACGCTTCGGGTGCCAGGCACTCTAAGTATGTGGCGATGTTGCCCGCTATCACCGTGATTTGCTAAAAAGTATTCAAAATAATTTGTTCAGTTTAGGCTGTTACAAGCTCTTGTGAACGGGAATTCTCTGCCATCAATTCGTAATTCTACGATGGGAGGCCTTGTACTGGGAAGAACCAACAAGAACGACTCGGTAAACTTAATCAGTCTCAGGTTTATGATGGCGATTACGCTTAAAATACTATCTCACGATAAATTGATTTAAACTTAATAAAATTTCATTAGAAAATGTGTTTGTTGTTGATTTAAACTTTCAAGCTCACAGCGGGATTAATACCATGTAGCTTGGTTTTTGGCGATTTCGATGCCTATAGAATATTTCGGCACTTTCAACATGCAAAAACAATAATGACTGCTGTTTCACGACTTTGAAACTATTTTCGAAAAATCGCCTCACCATCAATAAGTGCCGATGTAAAATCAAGTCTTTTGAAAAATATTATGAAAGATAATATAATACTTACATCAATAGGCAGAGTCTTCTTTGAGTTTAGATGCTCCACGACCAACTGCAAAGGCCCGCAGGGATACAACTCGTTGAAGTCTACGAATGCTTGTGCGATGCTCTTGAAGAACATTGCGCGTTGTTTTTCTACAACAATAGTTACAAATTAAAAAGACGAAAACCGTACAAAACTACACATAATATTATGAGGATGCTGGCACTTCACATGGGTATTCGTTTTTGCTATTTGCACAATATACATTTTTAATATAAAATTTTACATAAGTCACTCCTATTATTTCCTGTAGAGCATGATAAGGTTATACAATTGTCAAATGTACATTTTTTATATTAAATTTTACATAAGTTGCTCCTATTCATTCCATGTAGAGTTATACTACTGACAAATGTACAAAAAGGAATAGCCAAGTAAAGTTTGTGAAAAACAGTCTGTTTCAGAAAAAAAATATTTAACAAGCTTAGATTAAAACAAAAAGGGAAGATACGGTACGCTCATACTGCCATCAAATAAAATATGCTCCGACTCAACTACATCAAAAACTCACACACACGCACACGTCTGTAAATAAACATTCAATCGAGCGAGCGAGACAGAACGAGCGAAACGGCGAGTCTGTGTCCGAGTCCGCACGGCTGAGCTGTATTGTTGCAATTTTATTGATAACAAAATGGCGATTACGTTAATAACATCCACGACAATACATGATTTTTGAGAAAAATAAACGTTTTTACAGTTTTACAAATGAAAAGTGTTGCCGAGATATTTGTTATTTGATTTTGAAGTATTTGTGTTCTTTATAAAAGCATCAAAGGCATTGTTTTATCTTTATAACACAGAATATACGCAATATTATTATATTGAGTGCACGTGCAGCGTGTTTGAATGTCCAAGTGTCCCCGCACACGGGCCACAAGACGCGAGCAACGATGATTTGTAACGTGTGGCGGCCACCGGCGTACCGTGTGTGGCGAGTCCATATAAAATGTATGAAAACTAAGTACAAGAAATATGCCGGTGGCGGCGTTTTGTGGTTGTGGTCGGTAGCATGTGTGCGGCATCACTAATTGTGACTAAAGCAAATTGTGGTCATGCACCACAATTTTAGCGGATAACTGTTGAGAATCGAGTGCCGTATCTTCCCTTTTTGTTTTAACCTAAGTTAACATGTTATGAGAAAAAAAATTCATGCTAGTAAGTTAATGACTTTGAATCTGGCATCATTCTCTAAACTAACCCAGAAACTAATTTAGTTACAAATAAAAGTAAATAGGAAATATTTTTTCGGTACTTTATAAAGGAACCACCAGAATCCTTAAATGACTGCTAGATTTATAACTCTACCTATTTTTACGATTAGACAGTACCATAACAATATCCATCCATTCTTTTCTTACTTTGAGTCTATGCTAATTGGTGTGTGTATAAGAAGTATTTGTTAATACACTTACCAGGCGTCCTTTGCAAGAAGATTTGTAAGAAGACATTATTTGGAGCTAGTTGATGCAGCACGCAGCGCAAGAACTGATGGGCTACAAACACCGCACTGCCGGGCAGCCGGGTGTTGGTGTCCGCCTGCCATGAGTAGTTGCCCAACTGAACGACCCTAAGGAATGACAGTAAATACTCAGTTTTTTGTAAAAAGATATCTGTAAGAAGACTTTATTGGGAGCTAGTTGATGCAGCACGCAGCGCAGGAACTGATGGGCCACAAACACCGCGCTGCCAGGCAACTGGGTGTTGGTGTCCGCCTGCTGAGAATAGTTGCCTAACTGGATCACTCAGGGGAATAGATAGTAATTGATATGTGGCGGCGACATCTACGCGCCCCACATAAAAATAAGTAGAAGTGCCCTGCGTTTCTTTATAGAGCGATAAACATTTATGAATGTGGAGTAAATTTGAATTACCGCTGCCGTCTTTGTAAACTTCATATTTTGTACGTTATTTACGTTATTTTGGCAATAAATACTTAATATTTTCTTTAGTAGTTCATTATCTATTTAGATCTATGTCCGTGGGTCTACTTCTTTCTCACAGGAGACCTCTTGATACCTTCTTGTCATCAGCCTATAAATGTCCCCACAGCTGGAGCACAGGCCCTCCCTATGGATGGAATAGGGAGATTGGGCCACCCAACACGCGGGCCTAGTGCGGATTGGAGGATGCTAATGATTGCAGATACAGCCATCAACGGCTTGACGTGCCTTCCGAATCACGAAGGAACTCTAGATAGAAGATTCTTGGTCACCCATCCAATGACCGACCACTGTGAAAGTTGCTTAACTTCAAGGATCGCAGCCGAACGCGCTAGCCACCCGCGCCATCGAGCTTCTGTAGAATGAGTCTATAGAATAAGTTTACTCACCTACTGACAGCGTGTAGAAGGGCTGGCAACATGGAAGCCGCGGCCGCGGGCTCGCGATGGACAAACGTAGCTAGTGCAATCACGCACAACCCCAGCTCTTCGTCGCTGTATTGTTCTACAGCGCCGCCGCATTCGGCACCTAAACGATGCAGAAGTATTTATCGACCTCGATTTGACGACCTCCGTGGCCGAGTGGTTTGTACGCCGGGTTTCATGGCGTCGCCGACTCAAGAGGGTTCGAATCCCGGTGGGGGCAGATGTTTGTGTGATGAATACGAGCATTAATACTCCAGTCATGGATGTTCAATATGTATTTCTATATAAATATTCTTATATATGTACTGTATATGTATTCTATCCGTTACCCTAGTACCCCATAACACAAGCCTTACATAATACAGTGCTTCACTTTGGGGCCAGGCTAATTGGTGTGAGTGTTGGAAACATTCATTTTATTTATTATTTATTTATTATCGTAGCCTATTAATGTCCCAACTGCTGGGCCACACACCTACCGTATGGATGGAATAGGGAGATTGGGCGGCGACCCAGTACGCGGTCCCAATGCGGATTGGTGTGTACTAACGACCGCAAATGCAGCCGGGACCAATGGTTTAACGTGCCTTACGAAGCACGGATGAGCTTAAAATAACAAGTTTTTGGTCACCCATCTAATGACCGACTATTGCGTAAGATAACTTAACTTGCATGATCATAGGCCGAACACGCTTACCACCTGCGCCATCGCGCTCTTCACTAAACGATGTAAGGGGCTATCAATATAAATAAATCCTACATCATAAATGTGACAGTTTGTATAAATTATTTGTATGTTTGTTACTTAAGCACAAAAAAACAGCTGAACGGATTTGAATAAAATATGGTATACACATATTTTATGACTTCAATTGAGACATAGGACACTTTTCATCATCATTAATCTTCTTTTTAAAGTTTTCTTAGACTGTAGGACCTTTCCGATCAGCTTGATCCTTTAGCTTTGCGTAGGGATTTAGCTTCGCTCTGCATCTTCTATCGCATTTATCACGGGGAGTGTTCTGAGGACCGTGCGTTTTTTGGCGAAATTTTATACCACGTACGACAAAACTGTGGAATATATTGTCGCCAGCAGTGTTTCCGGACCAATACGAACCAAAAACCTTCAAAAAAAGAGCGTACTCCTTCCTTAAAGGCCGGCATCGCATTTGCAAGTTGCAAGTGTCCATGGGCGACGGGAAAAATAAAAACAAAAAAAAGTTATTACGGAAAAAAAATAAGAAAAAAAAATCTGAACTTATGGCTCTAACCGATAGTTGGCGTTGCAGCTGCAGTCGAATATCAAGTATTTTTTTAAATACTTTTTCGCTGACCCATCTTAAGACCGGCAAATTTGAAAGGTTAGGATAAACACAATACTTACACCGGTAGCATAGGGTAGAATCAGCCCTAGGTCCAGGATTTGAATGCGCTTGTCTGGAACCATCTTCCCACCACCCCCCTTCCCCGCTACCTTCTCCCATCTCTACTCCCTCGCATCCGCTATCTAAACAACGAAAATTGCAATTTAATCGCCCATGTGTCAATCTAAAATACATATAATAAAATGGTAGGAAAGTCAAAACTGTACATTGAATACTTTTTTAAAAGAATGCTTGGGGTGTGATCTACAATCGATACCGAAGCCAAAAATAAAGTTTTTAGAATTTTTGTCTTTTTGTCTGTATGTATGTCTATATATATATAAAACTCAAAGGTGACTGACTGACAAAGTGATCTATCAACGCACAGCCCAAACCACTGGACGGATCGGGCTGAAATTTGGCATGCAGGTAGATGTTATGACGTAGGCATCCGCTAAGAAAGGATTTTGATTAGTTCTACCCCGAAGCGAAGCGAGGGCGGGCCACTAGTTCGGGATAAACTCAAAAAGTTCTGCATGGATTTATTTCAAATTTGGCTCGAATATTATTAAGAAGTCAGGTCAATATATAGACTACATATTATTACGCTATCACCTACGAGGAATGAGCAGTGAACCTTTATTTCTAACTAAATCCACGCGTACGATGTCGCGGGCGGCCGCTAGTTAAAAATGATATGGACCCCTATCAGATTGTTTTAAGGAAAAAAAGACGCCGAAACTAAAAATATTATTTTTATTGATAGTTTCCTTACACTTACTAAGCCAACGAGAAGCGATACACCTTGTTCGAGACTATGGGACTGACAATCTAATAACTATCTCTTTCATCTCACAGATCATATAATATTCCATAGTACATATAAGAGTATTACAAAGGATCACATGAAAACGCGTTATTGGCCTTACAGTTAGTTACTGGTTGCATCGCGTGATCGGCAAAAAAAGGATAAAAAAACTATTTTCTTTTTCATGGTGTTTTAATAAAATTATTAATATTTTTCTGTAAAAATAGTTGAAACCGTTACCAACACTCTTTCTAAATACAGTTTAGCACTTATTTTTTTTATACTGTCAAATATCCTATTGTTATACCTGTGCTTTGCGGTCGTTGTTGGGAAGGATCTTGGTGTGGAGGGGACCCCATCTGCGCCGCCTGCCGCGCCAAACGACGAGGCGAGGCACCGCGGGACCTGAACGACGAATATCTTTTACCTCTACATCATCATCATCAGCCTAATAATGTCTCCACTCGCATAATATCTCTTTTCCTCACTCTATCAGTCTTTAAATACCAAGTCTATGGCTGGGGCACAGGCCTTCCCTATAAATGGAATAGGGAGACTGGGCTGTGACCCACCACAGAGGCAATAACGGTGGGAGCTAAAACCGGAAAAAGCAGCTGAGACCAACGGCTTTAAGTACCTTCCGAAGCACGGAAGAGCTCGAGATAATAAGTTTTAAACGTTTTCGTATGTCAAATTGATTGCTTGTCAGGCTTTTACTGTAATAATAATAAGAGTAGGTCAGTACCTGGGGCCTTCAGAAGACAGTTTCTTGGAGAGGTCCTGGGGCCTGCTGGTCGGCATCGGAACAGGTTCTTGTTCAGAACGACTGGAGTCTGTCTTGTCCGTTGAATCATCTGCAAATATTACCTTCCTTTATACCTTCTTGGTGACATTATAAAATCATCTCAATTTTATTAGCTTCAAATTAAGTTTCTTGAAGGTCTAAGTTTGTAGATATATTCAAGTTCGTAAAAATTGATCTCACCTGCTGGCAAGCTTAAAGCTTCTCTCACTCTGTCCACTAGAGCATTGAAAACAGGATACTGTTCTTTGTTTGGCTTTGGGCCGATTGGCAGCAATCTGCAATACGTTTAAATTTCTATCATATCATGTTCATACGTACGTATTGTGGTAGACAAATACAGTTTTTTTTTTATTTGTTAATGGGTAAGCTCGTGGGATAGAATCGACTCTGGCGGGAGTATGGTAGTTTGGGCTCCCCTTTCCATTGTCTAGACTGTGTTGCTATACTTCCCCGCCAACTTCTTGAGCAACAACTAAAGAAACCTTAGAACGAGTAAGGAAGTCTACGCAGTAGCATTTTAACTGTACTTATATTATGACATCTTGACTTGAGCGTGTTTTCCGTTTTCCTAAACTGTTAATTATTTTTTTATTTGATAAAAATTAATGAATTTTAAATTATGTAATTTATTACCATATTTTTCTTTATATATACTTTATTGACATATAATTTGTGGACCTTCAACTAAATTTTTATATTAAATAAAATAAATAATTAGTTGTATATTTAAGTGACATGTACTTATTTCTATGGTAATTATGAGTTATATTGCTTGAAATATATATGTTTTTTTATTAACGTGAAAAAATGACAAAGGTTTTTGAAATAACCGATTCAATTAAATCATTTGTCTTTTATTTTCACGTAGGTAGCATAAAGCACTATGAATTCCTCGAAAAGAAGGGCTATTCTCAACTCGGGTGTATTAAGGCCCTTAGCTGCGCCTCACTCAAAACTATACCTTCGTTGGTAATCGGTCACTTTCTCCGCTCGGTGAACAATATACTATTGTCTGCACCTAAATTTCGTTTACTACGTTACAGCCGTGTATATAGTAGTATCATCTCTCTGGGGGCGGGATATGGAAGGCACCTCCATCTTGAACAGCGACGACTCCGACGACTCCTTCATATAGTAACCTAAGTGTATGCATCTGTATCCGTGTTCGGGTTGGAACTAATAATTGATAAAAATAATAAAACTGTATATTTGGAAAAGGGCTAAAAATAACTTTAAAATAATAATTGCTAAGAGTACAAGTGACTTGATGAGTTGATGATTGCGAACTGATTTTGTGCAATAAAATTAATTATAAATAGGTAATTTAGGTCAACTAAATGTGCTGATGTGTCGATGTACGCGCTTGCTAATACAATCCGTGTATATAGTATTATCACCTCTCCGGGGGCGGGATATGGAAGGTGTGGGCGGCGTGGGCGGGCGGGGCGCGAGGGGCGCAGCTCCACGCAACCTCCATCTTGGACAGCGGCGACTCCGGCGACGCGTATGGGCCTTCGCAGCGCACTACCGAAGTTTATGCATTTCAATATACGGCTAAGTTCAGATGGTCTCTCCCTTCGACGTCGATCGCGCGTCAAATGAGTTCAGTACCCTTAGCACGAACCATTATCGAATTCGAATAGTTTGCGAGTGCGAAATGTCACTGTCAAATTTTGTATGGAAACTTGCACAGCAGCGCCACAACGGACGTCACGAGAACTAAAAATCCGTACACATTTGGCAATGACATTTCGCACTCGCAAACTATTCGAATTCGATATTGTTTCGTACTAAGAGTATACTGATGACAAGCGATAACACACGGCTACCCCTTATCCATTTTCGATGCCTCATACGTTTGCACGCAACCACTCGCACGAAAAATCTGAACAGGCCGATACATTACAATAGGAACTCAATAAGTATCATCATCATCCTATTAATGTCCTCATTGCTGGGGCACAGGCCTTCCCTATGGATGGAATAGGAAGATTGGGCCATGACCCACCACGCGTTCCCAAAGCGTATTGGCGGGTGCTAACAAGTGCAGATGCAGCCGGGACCAACGGCTTAACGTGCCTTCCGAAGCACGGAACTCGAGATAGAAGATTTTTGGTCACCCATCCAACGACCGACCACTGCGAAAGTTGCTTAACTTCAACGATCGCAGCCGCGCTAACCACCTACGCCATCGAGCTCCTCAATCAATAAGTATATTTATATTAAAATAAAGCTAAAACGACAAGGCCAGGGCCAAGGTACAAATGCTCGTATTCATCATACTAGTATTTCCCCCACCCGAGATTCGAACCCGGGAGAATAGTAGGCGATACCTTGAAACCTTGAATAGGAGTGCCCATCTGGGGAAGGTACCTCCACCTCACAGAAGACCACAGTGAAATAATCAAAACTAAAAGGTAGTTTTAGTTTTGTGTTTCTATAGGTGAGCAAGGTTTCGGGATAGGGGCTGGGATCAGGGAAGGCAACGGCGCAAGTGATAGTTTTGTGGCCGCTTACCGCTTATCAGGTGGACCATAATATGCTTGTTTACCACCCTTTACCATAAAAAAACTGTCCCCTGATCAACCATAATTTCAAGGGCTACAAAAATATTTATTATTTTTCTTTATGGCTACCCCATCCAAAACACGGTGTGAAAATAGAAAAGTAGATAGAAAAATAATGTAACAAATAGCACTTCAATAAAATAACATTCTGAAAAAGTATATAAAAAAATTTCATACCTGGGCTGCGATGTCTTGGTGCGTGATGCTGAGCAGAAAGCCCTTCGCCGTTGGAGGACGGAGCCGTATCGGGAGATGTACTGCTGCCCACTGACACAAGGACAAACATATTGTTAAGATAAATAAATATTTTTTTATAAGAAATAATCAGTAAATATGTCGAACACTCGCACTAATAGGATGGTATTTGATTAGTTTTATATTCATAATTCTATTGTATATTTCAGTAAAAAAAACTTTTAACGCTATAATTAAGTACTTTTGTAATCGCCGTTGGTTTCCAAATAAATAAATCAACTTCTGTTTATGGAGTCCATAATCTGTGAACATTCACCATTCATGTGTATTTCAGTAAAAAAATTAACTCCGAAATACCTTTTTTAAGTTGCCACGAAAACTGTCACACTAGTATATGACGTCAAATGATACAATGTAATGTCACTTTGAGCGGAAGTTTACTAGCGTGTGACGTCATTTTAGTCTACGCCAATCCCAAACGTTTTTAGGTACAATTAAAATTAATTTATTTGGCAAGTGGTTTCAACACTCCAGATCTAAAAGAGCGCAAGGAGTCATAGTTTAATAAACATCAAAAAAAATGGCATTTATCCTCAAAAAAATGGAATTCATAACCTAATCTTTAAATAATTGTATTTTTGAGGATTATTTAATATTTTCGAGGATCATTTAAATATTTCCCAATAAAAATCCAGTTTAGTATTATTTTATGTACTGCAATCTTCTCAGTTTTGTATGTGTGCATGTAGTGCGAATAAAGTTTTATCTATATATATATTATATTAACACGAAGACTCACCGACGATTCTCTTCTGCTTGCCCAGTATCTTGGCGCGCGGCGACGCCTGCAGCTGGTCCGGCCAGATCTCCACCGACTGCCCGCTCATGGGAGTAGATTTCCTAATAATTATTCATATCTCGCGTTGAGAACAGTGTGTTGCAAGTTTGTTCAAGTTGCCAGAATTCCACGTAGAGGGGGCGATGGAAATCTTTAGCTGAGCACTGTTCTTTTTTAAAAATGTGTATCTCCAATTTCCTTTTGTTATCTCAAGATTGAGGAGCTCGATGGCGCAAGTAGTAAGCCCGTTCAGCTGCGATCGTTGAAGTTGAGCAACTTTCGCAGTGGTCGGTCCTTGGATGGGTGACCAAAACTTTATTATCTCAAGCTCAACTAAGCCGTTGGTCCCGGCTGTATCTGCAGTCATTAGCACCCACCAATCGGCACTGGGCCCGCGAGGTGAGACATGCCCTCATCTTCTTATTCCATCCATAGAGAAGGCCTGTGCCCGCATCATCTATCTTCGCAACTGGACTCAACTTACCCTAAAAATTAGTGGGGTGAGGTATTTATAGCGCCTCGTATAAAGAAAAATATTTTAACTAAATGATCCCATTTTTGTCGTGTCTGATTAAAATGGACCCGACTTCAACACCACCCATCAAATATTTGATATTTTACAAATACACTTACACTTTACTGACGTTTTTTATGTTTTGAGCATTTGCATTCAACGCGGTCCATGTAGTAGACGGGACTCGAATCCACCCCCTCCGCAATCTGTACCAATTATGCTACCGCTGCAAGGCAGAGCCATCTCTTCGTATTGTAGGTTTGGCGGAGTAACTAATATTTATAGAGAGTCCAAATAAAACCAATTGAAGAGTGAAAATATATTTTATTAGAAAGACGCGTTTACAATACAGTGCGCTTTATAAGTTACTCTGTTACTGAGAGGGCTTTCTCACGGTCTTGACGGCCGTAGTGGCCTAACTCTTTTTATTTACAATATTGAGTTTATGATTTTTTCCAGTTCAAATTGATTATTTTGATAGAACCAGAGTGGTCTAAAAGTGATACAACGAATATTCACTAGATGGCAGCATAATCACTGTTACGGTTTTTAGTCTGTGATCTAAATTTGGGGTTCCATACTGGCCTAAGTAAGATAGGCCACTATGGTTCTCATGGCCTCATATATCGTGGATAATCAATAATTATCTTATATTCAATAAGTAGTAAAATCCATGTACTAACATAGGCAACCCATAATGTGAAACGAAATACCTTCGCAAGTATTAAACATTAATTGGTCAGTGCCCGCCCGGATAGCGGAGAGTGTGGGTTCGAGTCCCGTCTGCTACCTGGACCGCGTGGAACTTTTCCCAGTAAAATTTTCTATAGATTTGAAATACTTACAGATTAGAAGAGTCGCTTCCAATAGACACTGATGAACTTGTAGATAGCTGATGAGCGGAACGTGAGCCTACGGCAGACTGCGAACGAACAGACACAATGACAAAAGTATTATTTTTAACTGGCTACCCCCGTGACTTCATCCGCGTTGTAGTTAGTTTTCAGACAATGACGTATCATATACAGGGTGACAGGAAAACTCGACCTATTTCTTGTAAGGGTTATACTAGAGGTCATTGGCAACAAAGTAAGACCAGTAAACTACGGGTCAAAACTGGATGGTTACCGAGTTGAGGCGGTTCTTTGATTCTTCAGATTTTTTCGGGCTTGCTGCCAAAAACCATAAATTGTGAATAAACTACTACACTCTAAACATTGAATTGATATTTTTTTAAAGCTGAAAAGTTAGTGTTTGTACTCCAAATTCGATATAGTTATTTTCCAATAATTTACGGCGAAGTTCGGGAAATATACAAAAAAATAAAAATTATTGTTACTAAAGGCCTTTTTTTTCTGAGATTGTGTAAGTTTTGGGCTAGCGTTTTTTTTTAAATAATCACAATTTTTTCAGCTTTCACAAAGGTATCAATTCAGATTTTAGAGTAGAGTGTTTATTCACAGTTAATGGTCTTTGGCAGCAAGTCAGAAAAAAACTAAAAAATGGAAAACCCGTTTATTTTTCTACCGCCTTCATTTGGCAATATGGAAAAAAAATTACAAATCGATCAAACAAATATCCTTTAAAACATCTTTCTTGTGTACTCTGATTAAAATATTGCTTTGAATAAAAAAAAATATTGCAACTAAATGTTAATTTAATATTCTTTTCTTGTAATTTAGATCAACATGAAAGACTGAGCAAGAACGTACACAAAAATACTATTAATAAAAAAATATACTGATTTGTTGCAGCAGCATAGCTTTAAATTACGTAGAAAGACTGTAGATTGAAACTTTTTTTAATGAAAACTAACAAAGTATTCCGCGGCGAACTCGTAGTGATTATAGAAACATCTACTAAAAAATGCTTACATTTATCTTGTTGAGTGGAGGATGGGAAGACGTCGGCATATTATCAACTTTTGGTGGTAGGTCTTCATAGTGCGACGGCTCATCAAAGGAACCCTAACAGATAACAAACAAAGAAATATCTGAGAATTATTCACTTTATTACAATTGTAAAACCTCCGTGGCCGAGTGGTTTGTACGCCAGGTCCCGGGTTCGAATCCCGGTGGGGGCAGATGTTTGTAAGATGAATACGAGCTTTGTACTCCAGTCATGGATGTTTAATATATATTTCTATATGAATATACTTATATATGTAGAGTATATGTATTCTATCCGTTACCCTAGCATCCCATAACACAAGCCTTACAGTGCTTACTTTGGGGCTAGGCTAATTGGTGTGAGTGTTCGAAATATTTATTAATTTATTTATAAAAAGAATACCTCAATTTAGGCATGTGTGAGTGAGATTGAATTTGTAAAAAAACAAATGTTTTCAAAACTCTGGTGTAGATGGCAGAATACTATTTCTCTGTAAAATAGACTGATAAATAGAGATGGCGTTATATTATAATAAGGGTATTTGACAGTATTAAAATGAAGTGCCAATTGTTGGCATCTTTATTTAGAATGAATATTGGCAGCAGTTTTTACTAAATTGATAGTAAAAATAATGTAATTTTTACTAAAAAAGTACGCAGAAGAAAATTTTTCTTTATCTATCGTCACGTGACTAAAAACGCGTGGGATTGGCAGAGCCTGAAATGACGTCACACATAGGTGTCAAAGTGACATTAGTTGTACCGTTCGACGTTTAAATAACATCCGTGTGACGTCATACATAGATAAACACGCCATATTACAGATAAACGTTTCAGCGGAATATCAGTACCGCTAGCACGAACCAATATCAAATTCGTATCGTTTGCGAGTCCGAAATGTCATTGTCAAATGTGTACTGATTTTTAGTTCTCGTTACGTACTTTGTGCCGCTGCTGTTCAAGTTTCCATACAAAATTTGACATTAACATTTCGGTTTGCAAACTATTCGAATTCGCTAGGGGTACTGAAACCAGTATTTTCATTTCGTTTTTTTACTGAAATCGATAACAAAATAATAAATAACCACTTTTTTGTCGACACTATTATATAAAGTATGATCGTTACAAAAAAGTTGTCAAATACCTTATTAGAAATGTAAGTTCTAGAAATTACACATTTATTTACGATTGTAAATACTAACGCTTAATGCGTTGAAATTAAAAGATAAATTTTACTAGAAAAAAAATCCACATGGACCAGGCAGCAGACGGGACTCGAACCCGCACCCTGCGCTATCCTGGCGGATGCACTGACCAATTGAAACCACTTTAAATTGCATCATCTCATATACTAACCGGTGCTGTGCTCCCGTGGACTGTGGTATCGGATTTGTCGCTAGTCTCAGGAATAGCGATCAATTCGCTCTCAGACGATTCTTGTTCCAAACTCCACTGCTGATATCTGAGGAAAGATTTCCACCATAACATAGACGATGATTCGAACCGAAGTTATGATAATAGAGATGATAATATCTTTATTATTCGTCTATCAGGTAGATTATAAAAGGCTAGTGGACACACATTTTTTTGTTAATTCACATAAAAATCATAACATTAAAGAGATATATCGACATGAAATATCGCACGACGTCACGTCTCGATACAATTTTCACTTAGAAGTGACGTCACAAGCCCCCTATTCCAAACTTAATTTGCTTTATTTTTGTCAGTTTTTGGTTGATTAACAAAAGAAAAAATACGTGTCCATTATTTTTGATAATCTTACTGACGGACTAATTAGAATTTCGTTTGCATTACCCCGTCGTCACTATGTTGAAACTGAAGTTTGTTCCATAAAATTAATTCAATAAGAGATGACTCAGTTTCGTATCTTATCTCCTTGGAATGTTATAAAATGTTTTCATTATTATATAAATAAGTTTTCAGGATTTCTTTGATTTTTATTGGCTACTGAAACCGATTTCACAAATAATAAAAAAATGCGGGAAGTCATCTTTTTTCAGTATGAATACCTATATTGTTTTAAACTTTCATGGTTTCTAGAATTATAGCAATTTATGTTATTTACGTAATTGTTACCATGTACCTTGTTTTAAGCAAGTTTCCGATATTTTGGCACTGTTTCAAACGACTAAGGAAGTAATTATGGGTAGGCTGTTATTGGCAGACATATTGGTCTATCGGTCTACCATAACATGAAATCTTTTAATGCGTTTGATACCCATACTACTGTTCACATTCGCACTATTCACTCGAATCTGTTCTTGACACACAACACTCTTAGTATCGGATCGCACCACGACACTTTTTTCATTATTTCGGTTTTTACATATACGAACTACAAGTACTTCAGTAAGTTTTATCAAAGTCAGAGAGATTTTATTGTGTAACTCGGCGTGAACTTCTGTACCCTATGCACAAACCATTAGCAAATTGGAATAGTCGAATTCGATCTATTTTTACGTCAAATGTGTATTGATTTTTAGTTCTCGTTACGTCCGTTGTGGCGCTGCTGTTCAAGTATCCTTTCAAATTTTGACAAAGACATTTCGCACTCGCAAACTATTCGAAATCGATATTGGTTCGTGCTAAGGGTAGGTGATTATGATTATGTTCTGCAGTCGTTAGTGCTATCAATTTCTGGATTCACTTTAAGCTCCACAATCATAGCCCAACATCACTTTTCCATCCGTAGGGAAGCCGGCCGGAGCAGTAGGGACATTAATAGGCTGATGATGACGCTGATAATTATTACTCGCTATAGAGTCACTTGGAGCTTAAAATGGCTTGTACAATTTATTTATTTAAAGGGAAGGCCTGTGCTCCAGCTGCTGCGGCATTAATAGGATGTTGATGATTACTCCGTATTAACTTACTTGGCAGGTTTGGTAGGCTCATCCCAATGCGTGTGCATCTACGCGGGCGACTTGTACTGCAGCTTGATAACACAAGACTACAGTGCTTACTTAGGCTTATTGGTGTGAGTGTTGGTAACATTTATTTATTAGAGATGGGCCGACTACCTGCCGACTAGTTGGGAAAGACGACTATTCGGTACCGTTTATAGTCGACGATTAGTCGGCGACTATTCGGCAAAACATGCCGATTATAATCGGCACATAACAATGAAATAAAACTCAAAACTTATGCTTATTTTGAATATTTTAACAGTGCGTATTTAAAGTTACATACAGCTTTAAAAAATTAAAAAGAAAAATGGTTACATAATAAGAATTAGCAACTTAGGAATCTGTCAGTAATTCAGATAACTTAACATAATGAATATCGAACATAGCAATGGGAAGTAAGTATGTATTAATTTAGTAAAATCCTAAGTGCTAGCGAGTCTTAAAGAAGTCCATAGGTAAAAAAAATCCTTAGAGGCAAATTGTGATGTTTGAACGTAAATATTTCGGCTTGATTTGGGGGACTCCTGTCATGCGTGAGCAAGCCGAGTAGTGACGAAATATTCCTTCCTTACTAAGATAGGTATTAGAATGATCGGCATTGTAGAATAGTCGGCCGACTAGTCAGCAATTCGAAAACCGATTAGTCGGTTAGTCGGCAAATTCTATAGTCGGCCCATCTTTTTTATTTATTTATTTCCCTATAAATTATAATAAATAAATTTCGCGACATTAATAGGCTAATGATGATTACTCCGTATTCAATTCAAATCATTTATTTCAGAACTAGGTTCCATAGTGATAGTTACATTTGATTTACTTAAATATGTTAGTATCATAAAGATCTACATAAAATATTATTATAGTAGTATTAACTTACTTGGCAGGTTTAGTAGGCTCCTCCCAATGCGTGTGCATATGCGCGGGCGACTTGTGCTGCAGCTTGGGCTTGCGCTCCACTCCCAGCGGGCTGCAGCTGCTGCCGCCCGCGCCCGAGCTGGCGCCCGCTACCGCACCCGCTACTACTGGCACCCCGCCCGATGTGCTAACGTTGGAACCGCTGGCAATGCCGGCCACGTTTGATACTTCTACTTCGGTCTTTAGAGACGGTTGGCTCAAATCTAATGATAGACAAATACAGGGTGTAAAAAATCCTATGACAAAACCCAAACAAGTAATATTACAAAATGTACGCATTCTGTACACCCAGACAAGAAATATGATACGTGGGAAAAAAATGTTTTTTTAAGTTAAAAAAATAAAAAATCCAGTACGCAATCTATAGTGTGGCGCTACGCAAAGAATGTGCCTGTGTGTGCGAGTGTGTAAGTATGTCGATAAAAAAGTTTCTAAATAACGTTTTGAAAATACTAATGTAAAAATCTTTATAATAAAATTGTGACTTTGACCTTCAATATCTCCATAACCATAAATTTCCCAGGTATGGTCCAGAAGCAAAAAATGATCGTCATGATTTGGAAAATACGTGGCCTTCGACTTCGTTAAAGGTTTTTTACACCCTGTACATAACGATGCTTAGCAATTAAATGCACTAGTATATCCAAACAGTTTGATACTTCTACTTCGGTCTTTAGAGACTGTTGACTCAAATCTAATGATAGACAAAAGTAGAACCATGCTTAGGAATCAAGTCTTTAATAATCTTGATAGCGTCTTTATACTGTACCCAAACAAGGCTCATTTTGTGGACTATATATAAGACCACGCCCACGCTACTACTAGCACCCCGCCCCATGTGCAAACGTTAGACCCGCTTGCTATGCCGCCCACGTTTGACACTTCTACTTCAGTATTAAGAGACGGTTGGCTCAATTCTAATGGTATACAAAAATATAACGATGCTTACCAATAAAATCTACTAATCTATCTAAACAGGGATCATGTTGTGAATTGTATAAACAAACCGCGCCTGCCCCCGCTACTACTAGCACCCCGCTGTACAAACGTTGGAACCGCTTTCTATATACATATTCAAATATAGGTGTTTAATGCTAAGACAGTGTGTTAAACAAAACTGACCTCTAGTGCGTGCCTGCGGCATAACAATCATGGGCGGGATCCGCTTGCACTGATGATACTGACCCTCCACTGTGTTTAGTACGATCCTCACTAATGACTGCACTTGGTTGCACAGCGTGCCGCTCGAGTAGTGATACTGGAAACAATACACTCAAATGAAAACCATTTTTGATGTGTAACATCTTTCCTCTCGCTTTCCTGCAATTTGTGGGAGTGATTTCGTGAAATGGGACGGAAGTGTGTAACAGGAAGTCGCGAAAGCGAGCGTTATTTGATTTGATTTTAGAACATAATGTTCATATGGCTTATTCCTTTTGTAGTAGGTTTTATTTCTTTTGATGGGTAACATCTTTCCTCTCGCTTTCCTGCAATTTGTGGGTGTGATTTCGTGCAATGGGATGGAAGTGTGTAACAGAAAGTCGCGAAAGCGCGCGCTATTTGATTTTAGAACATGTTGTTCAAATGGCTTATTCCTTTTGTAGTAGGTTTTATATTTGTTTCTTAGGTTTTCACGCACATCACTCATTAAATCCTTGGTACCTTGACCTTGAGGTAGCTAGACAAAGTAAATGAAAAATCATTATTCTGACGATGCAGACCTGAAAAGGCTGCGAAACGTCAATAAATAAATAAAGTTCGTGCATTAACCCGTTAAAACTAGTTTTATTTAGTAGGTTTTATATCTATTTTTACTAATAAAAGGTGAGGTTTCAAGTATGTTACACATTATACGCGACTACTGTAAGGCTCGCTCGTTTTTTTTCTAAACAAACAAGCTCGTACCCTTGGAAACAAACTTCTTATTTTCTGAACAATCATATTTGATGTGATAGTTCGCAAACAATTTTATATCTACCAGGGCTCTAATTATGTCCAATAAATTTATTGTGGTCATCAGCCCTTCTGATGGTAAGCCACCAGCATATCCTATAGACGCTTACGATACACAAAATATGTTGCCGTTGCCTACCCTGACCCAATCTCCTATCCCGTAGAGTGCTAAAACACAACACCACCAAAAGGTAGTGTTATTTTAATATGGTTTTCTGTAAGGTGGAGCTTACTGTAACAGACGGGCGCTCTTATTCGAGCGGGGAATCCGATAGCTCTCTTAATTTATAATTTTAATTCAATTTCGTATGTCCTTGTAGTTTATCTACAGCGTAGCGTAAAAATCCCGCTCATCAATCAAGAGATGATTCACGAAGTCACCTTTCATTATATACCTAGTCAGGTCATAAATTCTGTCACATGTTTAATATAAAATAATTGAAACAAGTTTATTCATTATGTTATCATTTATATACCAAAATGAACTTAACAAAACATAGATTATTATGACAATAAAGTTTATTCAAAATGACTTCCGTGATTTTGAATACAGGCCTTCAATCTGCGCGGCCAGTCGTCTATCGCAGCACGAACGAGGTCCAGGTCAATATCGGCGGCTGCCTTAAGTGTAATACGAAGTAGACAGTAATTTATGGTTCATCTGCATATTGGTTGGAGATCATAGGCTGAGTGTGTTAACCACCTTGCGACATCGTGCTGCTCCTGTTATACCAGCCACTTCACAGCCCCTAGACGCCTAACTTTATATTTTAGTACTAAACGCATCTGGCAACTGCTCGAGACAAGACGAAGCAGAAGAACTTCGCATTGATTGGCTAATATAAGTTCGAAATGTAAGTAAATGATATTGTGATAGTACGCAGAAGCATTTAGACTAGTTTCCCCATTTTTAACTCCGAATTCATGTCAACAGATCATGAAAGTGGTTGACACTATTTGAATATTTCCCTGCGGGATTTATTAGTCAGATGTGTTGTCAGGTATATTTGCCTATAATTTAGCGTCTAAGACCTGTATAAAGTTAGGTCAACGAGAAGGGATACAAAAGTTCATTCACTTTAGACGAAACTATGGCAATTACTGTCTAAAGCCTATCTCTTTCATCTCATATAAATGACATTAGATCTCACTAGATCATGTCACGTGATCGCCAACATTCGCAGTAATTTGTAGTAAAAAATTATGACATATTTTTATTTACTTCCGTGTCTTTCCAATACTACTCGTGGTAATAACTAAAATTTCTGTATTTGAACCGTTTTGATTTTCTCAGAAGAATCGGCATCTGAATAAATAAAAAGGTAATTTATAAAAAAAACATTGTTATCAGTTTTTTTAAGAATTGAGATGTAATTTTAGCTTTTTAAAAACTTAATTATAATTATACACAGTTTGCTTCATGCCTATTAAATTATAAAAATTCTAAGCAAATCTCCATATTTTTTTTTTCAAAAATGGTGCCACCCCCTGCATTGGCTAATGACCTTTCACCGACTTTGTTTTCATTTTGTATCGCTTCTCGTTGGCCGTTCTTTAGTCGGTGGGTTATACAGACCTTGTACAGGAGCACCAGCGGCTCGAGCGCGGCGAGCGAGTGGCCAGCCACTGCCAGTGTGGGAGTGGCTGCCTCCCGTCACATACTGTACGAGGGAATGTCCCGAGTGCAATACGAGCGGGCCACATGTACCGACCTTATACAGTAACACCAACAGCGCCATGAGCCAGTGGCGGCGCGCGTGCGGCTCGAGCGCGGCGAGCGAGTGGCTGGCGGCGGGCGGCACGCTGCCAGTGTGGGAGTGGCTGCCTCCCGTTACGTACTGTACGAGGAGATATTACTCTTTATTTCTAAAGTTACTGATGTACAACATAAACTTAGCAATCTAAATGTATAAAACACTACTGTGAGTGAATGACTCTGACAATCAACGCACAGTCCAAACCGCCGGGTCTAGACTCCAAATTTGGCACGTAGGTTCCTTATGCGGTCTAGGGGTGCCCTAAGAAAGAATTTTCCAAAATTCACCCCCGAAGGGTTTAAAAAAGGAGATAAAAGTTTGCATGAAGAATGTTATTCCTTGAGTTAATAGACTTAAAACATGGCGCGAATACTTATCAAAAAAATTGTAAAGTTTCTAATTTTTAGTTTTCCTAAAAGGGGATTGAGGATGTTAAAGTTGTATATGAATGAATTTTAACGAGCATTTCGATTAACTCGAAACTTGATATTTCTACTACAGATCAGGAATAAATAATAACTTGTATCTGAGTCAAAACATCGGTGCAATTGGACCATAAAAAAACAAGTGAATCACTCTAGCAATTTGAAAACTGTATTTGAAAACGGTATTTCAAAAGAAACTAACTGAAGTTAAGAAGATTCAAAGATTCGTCGATAGGTACAATGCAACATTTTCATAGCATTATTATTAACAGTATTTTATCACATATTCGCATATTAATTGCTCTACTACTTAAATAAAACAAATTTAGCAAACAGTTTATGAGATATGCTAATCCTGACTAATATGATTAGTAGTAAACATAATAGGTATAATTTGAATTATATACACATAAATTGACCGTATGAAAATCGTCATCTTGCGAGGTTGTGTTTAAGAACTTTGTTTAAATCTTGTATGAATGTAATCTGGTTGGGCGAGCAGTTCATTAATAACAATTTGAAATTAATCTTTGATCATATGACCAAAAATCCGTCGCCTCTGCGATGCAAAACCGAACGTAGCTATCGTTTTCTAAAATTTGTCACATACTTTATTCTAGTGAACTTATCAAATAAATATATAAATATTTCCAACACGGATAAATTGGAGGGATCCCATTAGCCTAGCCTAGTAAGCACTGTATGTAAGCTTGAGTTATGGGATACTAAGGCCCGTATTATAGAAAGATTCTCAGTGACTGATCTAGTCTTGAGCATAGTTAGAAAGGGATGTCGCTATATACAGCACATAGCGCCATCCCTTTCTAACTGTACTCAAGTAAAGATCGACTCTTAGTTGTCATTATGTAATACGAGCCTAAGAGGAACGGATAAGTATTTTTATATAGAAATACATATTAAATTGTTTTAAACTTTCATGGTCACTAATATTATAGCTATTAACGGGATTGTTACCATGTAGACTCATAAAAAACTAGGTACATGGTAACAATCCCGTTAATAGCTATAAAATTACATATTAAATATCTACGGCTGAAGTACAAATGCTCGTTCATCACACAAACATCTGCCCCCACCGGGATTAGAACCCTCGAGTTCGGGACCTTTCAAGATGGAAACGCCTTGAAACCCGGCGTACAAACCACTCTGTCACGAAGGTCCTCGAAATACTCTATTATAGTAGTGAAGTATTTACCTGTAAGAGTAGCAACGTTGGCTCGGCGATACTCGCTCCCATCACGTGGTTCTGGTCCAGCACTTGGGGCAGGTTGGCCATGAATGCATTGAATATCGATGATTGTCTGCAGTCAATGGGGAAGAAAACTGTCAATTTATCCCGCCAGAGTCTCAGGTGTCGGCAATGCTCCATAAAAACAAATCGAGACAGCTGTTAAAGTACACAAGGAAAACCGACAAAATCCGTTTTCGTTTCAAACCTAGCGTAGGTTTGAAACGCAACCCAAGTCCAAGTGCAACAAATATCATGTCATGATTTTACTTAAAGTTCTTCGGCTAGGAAGATAACCCGGGCCGCCCACGTAGCAGGCGAGCTTTCTACCACTAAACCACCGGTGCTTGGTTATCAAGATCAGATTATTAATAACAATTAGAAAAGCGATGCGACATTCTAAAGATAAATAAAAAAAATATTTATAAAAGTTTCACTTTAAAAATTAACATGAAAATTACAAGAGATATAAAAAAAAATCTATTCTGTAAGAAAAAGGACGCGCCGGCTGCTATCATGCCGTGAGTCATACAAATTGCAAAAACCCCCAATTTTTTATTTTTATTTACGTAATTATTTATTTTAAAATTAATATACAACTAAATAATATATGAATACTTTAAGCGTTTACCTATTGCCGTTATTAATATAAAACACAAAATGGCAAAAAAAAAACATGATTTTTGTATGGGATATTGTTAGCGGCAACAGAAATACATCATTTGTGAAAAATTCAGCTATCTAGCTATCAGGGTACATAATACAGGTTGGTGACATAAAGCAAACAGACAGACAGTGGAGTCTTAGTAATAGGGCCCCGTTTTTACCGTTCGGGTACGGAGCCTTTTTTCTGGAAAGGGCGTTACGCCTCCCTGAACCAGCGGGAGTCTCGAGGGTAGAAAACCCTAAAAATGTATTAATAATTACCTCAGGGTGTACGGTGAGATATGGAAGTATTTCTCGACGCAGTTGTAGCCGAGCAGTAAGAACAGGTGCTTCAGCACCAACTCCTGAGTCTTGGCTGTCGCTTTGTCTTCAGTGGGATGGGCTTGGTCAGATCTAAATACATTCAAATGATAAGCACAGTGAGTGTATGAATGTATAAAGCCGCAAATATACTTGTATGTCGTGTTGTGCCGTGACGCGTCAGAGAGGTATCCGTGTCACATATTCAGTACGGTTATTTTATTATTTATTGCAGTGGTCTTAAAAGCTGTTTTAATCCTAACTAATACGTACATACAATTCTTTATAGTTATATTTATATAATAAGGATAAACCTGCCTCTCATAACACAGGGTAACTTTGTATGAGAGCAGCTCTAATTTTGTACAAATATTTGGACTAAAGAAAATTTTGTTTTTTTTATATACAGGATCTCAATAGTGCAAGTGGTTAGCGCGTTCGGTTGCGATCATTGAAGTTAAGCAACTTTCGCAGTGGTCGGTCATTAGATGGGTGACCAAAAAACATTTACAATCTCGAGCTCCTCCGTGCTTCGGAAGTTAAGCCGTTGGACCCGGCTGTATCGTAGTCGTTAGCACCCACCAATCCGCACTGGGCCCGCGTATTGGGTCTAGTGCGGCCCAATCTCCCTATTCCATCCATAGGGATGGCGTGTGCCCCAGTAGGGGGGACATTAATAGGCTGATGATGATGATAAGCTGGATTGTTACCATTGCAAGCGCCATGATAAGAGAGTATCTGTCAATGCCGAAATATCAGAGATTCACAAAAAACAAGGTACATGGTAGTATTACCGCTAATAATTGCAATGTCAGCGACCATGAGAGTTTAAAACAATACATAAAATTCTCAACTCACCTAGATAAAAATTGCATAAGCAGAAACACCAACAAATTAGTGGTTTCTCTGTCAGCCTCTTCCAAATCTACAGCTTTAGGTATGACAGTAGTAAGCGTGTCCTCCGTGGAACGTCCCGACATAGAATGAAATCCATCTGGGGGAAGAAATATAGACTTATTTTTATAGACAGCCACACGTCATGTTATCACAGAATGTAAAATTACATCATTCGACGACCTCCGTGGCTGAGTGGTTTGTACGCCGGGTTTCATGGCGTCGCCGACTCTAGAGGTCCCGGATTCGAATCCCGGTGGGGGCAGATATTTGTGTGATGAACACGAGCATTTGTACTCCGGTCATGGATGTTTAAATATGTACTTCTATATAAATATACTTATATATGTAAAGTATGTGTATTCTATCCGTTACCCTAGTATCCCATAACACAAGCCTTATAGTGCTTACTTTGGGGCTAGGCTAATTGGTGTGAGTTAGCGATGGGCGTTGAATTAACGAACGGTTTAAATAGACGGTCTACGTTCAATCGACGCTTCGACGGTCTACAGTTAATTCGTTAACTAGTTGAATTCATAGACGGCTAAACTGAGAGTCCACAGCGTTCATATCTACTGACAAAGCGTCGACGACGCGTAAACGTATCTGGTTTACCCGTTACAAGTCCATACGTTCGTTCATTCGTTGAAATAAAGCAATTTGAAACTTAAGTATATGGCGTGGGAGTTGATATTTGTTCATTTTTTAAACTAGAGTTATTAAAGTGAAAAGGTAAGAGTATTTTTATATTGCGTGAAAGAGAACGGGTTTATAATAATGGTTTTCCTCAAGTAGTTGCACTTTTGTTTATTGAAATTTGAAATAAGTGTGTTACGAGGTCAAGGTCAAGGGACACGTGAATACGAATTTAGTGCAAAGTTCGTTTAAATTGAATGTTTATGTTATGAGTTTAATTTGTAAACATTTAAATAACTATAATGTAAAGCGAATACTAAATGAAAACCCCGTCGTCGTCGTTGCGTCGCGCCCGCAGACCAGTCACCGCGTAGTTGATATAAACCCTTTAAAGCCTGCTGTTATCACGTCAACTAGTCGAAGAATTCAACTAGTTGATCGACTAGTCGATGGACGGTAGTGGACGGTTTCGTTTCGTCGACGAAAAATACGTCGACGACCCACCTCTAGTGTGAGTGTTGGAAATTTTTATTTATTTATTCAATTATTAATCGTAAAAGCAAGACAAAGCTCATCATCAGTGACGGAAAAGTTTGTGAATTTCAGGTCATTCCTTCCCGTTAGAACATTTTACAAAGTATTAGAAAAAACCGGTCCAGTCCGACTCCGATTCGCGCACGAAGGGTTATTTTCTATACAACATTAGACACTTTAATATCGATCAAAACACAGGGCAAACAAATCACGTCTGTTGTATTGGAGTCCCCCTTCAATATGCATTTTATTTTAACTAAATTATTTATTTTTAAAGTGAATATTCAACTAAATATTCTGTGAATATTTCAAGCGTCTACCTGTTACCGTTATTAATTCGAGCAAAAAAACGGCAAAAAAAACACGTTTGTTGTATGGGAGCCCCTGCTTAAATATTTATTTGTTAAAGTGGCAACAGAAATACATCTGTGAAATTTTCAACTGCCTTGCTATGACGGTTCACGAGATACAGCCTGGTGACATGCAGACAGACGGACAGCCAGACGGGCAGATAGGCAGCCAGACGGACAGTGCAGTTTTAGTAATAGAGTCCCGTTTTTACCCTTTGGGAAAGGTATCCTAAAAAATAGATTAATAAAATTGGTAAGTTGTTCTCAAACTATGTCGTACATGACCAAGGGAAGTACTGATAATAACTGTTACCAAATGTTGTATATTTACCGCGAGTTGAAGTAATACGAGGAGTCTGCCGTCGTGGAAGTTTAGCCATTTTCGCAGATGGATGACCAAAAATGTATTAACTCCTCCGTGCTTCGGAAGGCACTTTATGTCGTTGGTCTCATCCATCAATAGGGCCGGCCTGTGCCCCAGCAGTGGGGACTAGGGATTGCAATCACGCGAAACGGGATCACGTATTCCCGCGGGATCACGCATTTCCGCGGGATCCCGCTGCTTTTATCAATGTGCGGGATAATGAAGATGAAGTTTAGGATTATAACAATCACGCATTCCCGCGGGATCCCGCTGCTTTTATTAATGTGCTAGATCCCACATCTACATAGCGTGGATCCGCATATCCCGCAAATTAAAACATTGGCGCTAAAACTTGCGCGTAAATCGCGAGTAACATAAGCGCGACGTTGCTGTTCACAGGAGAGTACCTGACGCTCGCTTATATTGACGGTTCACTCTACTAGCGTAGAAGCCGAGAGAGCGTTTTCAGCATCGGGATATATTAACAGTTCACTCAGAAGCAGACTCGTATATGATACATTAAATGTCATTTGCTTCTTAAGAGCGTATTTTCAAAAGTTATCACCATAGGTTGATATCATAGTGATAGCATCTAAGAGAAAGTTGTGATCTGATTTTAGTCATTATATGAATAACACTGAATTAAAAATATAATACTGTTGTTAAGGAGTAAGGGTAAAACTAACAAAACTATTAAACTATGCCACACATTTAAAGATGATTCTAAGAAAACATTACTAATTATTATTTAATTAATAGAAAATAAATAATTTCCGTTGCTTGATGTAAGAAATGTTTCATAAAAGTAGATTTTTACACAAAAATCTATAATTCCAATTTGATTTTACAACATAATTTCAAAGATGCGGGATCCTGCATGATTTATTTATTTAATCTTTAATGCCTTTACATTGCATATGGCAGACTTAATGCCATCTTTGCATTCTCTACCAGTCAACCGGAAAGAACGTGAAGAGTCAATAAAACGGCAGACAATCACAAGAAAGAACAAACATCAAACAATGAAAAAACAAAATTAAATAGCGTTTAATACATACACATATACATACATACAAACATAAATATAAATACATATACACACATATATACATAAATATATACATAATATACCTATAATATAGTGTCCGATTTTAGAATCCTGATTCAACTTAAGCACTTTGCAATAGATTCAAATAATGTTACCGCACCGAACTCTTAAACACCGTATATCCCGTATTGTAACGTATTGAGTAATCCCGCATTTTTAACCCGCAGGATTGAATGAGCCGCGGGATTGCAATCCCTAGTGGAGACATTAGTAGGCTTATGATGATGATTTACCATGCGTATTGTTAGTCCGCTGCGTATTAGCCGAAGGCTGCGGCGTGGCCAACAGTTGTCCGAGTCCGAATCGAGAAGTCTTGCGCTTCAACAACGGTGCAGAATATTGCCGCGAGTATACTTTCTCGCGCTCTGTAGTCATAAAACAATACAAAACCGCTATAAAGAGAGGTGGTAAAGGAGAGAGGAAATCCACTCTACCGCTTTTATAAATGTGTGTGAAACAATATTAACAGTATGCAAATTCCTTCGATTTTTTTTAAACAATATGGACTTTTTATGTTAGGCCTGGCAAATTATTTATATAATACATACACAAAATTTACCACATCAAGTTGCCGTAACTGGACCAATGTCTCTGTCTAACATAACATTTAATTTTTAATTTAATTTAAATTCTTTTTTATTTAACATCCCAGTAGGTGTATAGAGTTGTCACCGTCTAACTGTGGTCACAATTCTTACGCGTACAAAGAAATTTAGTGACCCATTTCTTTGTCGTACTATCCGTAAATGGTATGCTCTGCCTGCTCACGTGTTCCCTCCTTCTTACAACCTGGGATCCTTTGAAAGAGGTGTGAAGAAGCAACATGCAGGCCGGTAAGGTGAGGATGGCTGGTGTGGCAGGTAGAACTGCTGTACCAGCTATCTTCACATCTGGACTTCATCGTCACTTAACATCAGGTGGGGTGCCCTTATTTTGTCGGACCTATCTATAAAAAAAAGTATATCCTCTTTGTGCTTAATCTGCTATTACGACCCGCACTGATAGTCAAATACTACTGCCACTGAATCGATAAATGGGGCATAAGCAATTTTTTGACGAACGTCAGAACAGTAATAAGTGAAAATTATTCTTCAAAGCTAAAGTCGCTGGCACCAAATAGAATAAAAATTTGTGTATACGAATTAAAAAATTTGCTTCATCTGCTATTACGACCCGCACTGATAGTCAAATACTAGCTACTTTAAGAGCAACAATAACAAAAATAAAACGTAAATATTACTCACCGGGCCTGGCGTCGGGCTGCGGTGGCATAGTGGCAGGCGCGGATATGGTTCTCTTATACGGCCATTTTGTTCCGAACGATGCGCTCAGCGTGTTCACGTGCGGCTCGCGAGCGGAAACGCTGAGCGCTTCGTGCGCTCGACGAACCTTGTATAGGAACCATTCGGAGCTCGTCTCACTGCTGACTAGTTCTGATGGAAATTGTTAAAAGCCTATATTCAAAGTTCAAGAAAATTCTATATTAAAAATAGTTTATTCAGTACTAGCGGCCACCCGCGACTTCGTACGCGTGGAGTTAGTTAGAAATAAAGGTTCACTGCTCGTTTCCCGTAGGTGATAGCGTGATAATATGTAGCCTATATGTTGACCCGACTTCTTAATAATATTCGTGCCAAATTTGAAGAAAATCCATGCAGTACTTATTGAGTTTATCCCGGACATACATACAGACAAACAGACAAAAATTCTAAAAACTATATTTTTGGCTTCGATATCGATTGTTAATAACACCCCAATTATTCTTTTAAAAAAATATACAATGTACAGTTTTGACTTTCCTACAATTTTATTATATGTATAGATAGGCTGTTACAAGCACTTGTGAAGGTCGAGAAGCCATATTTTTGTTATATTTCGGGAAATTGGTCCCAAACGACGCGCTCAGCGTGTTCAGGTGAGTTTCGCGAGGGGAAACGCTGAGCGTTCTGATAGGACAGGTCTACATTAAAAAATTCAAGAAAATTCAAAATAGAATTTTATTCAGTCTAGACTGTTACAAGCACTTGTGGAGGTCGGTAAGCCACATATTCGTTATACGGGCACTTGTTGAACATTATGAAAGGTCAATATTTGTCATAGAAATTCAGTAAACGATGCAATTCGTACTATACTCCATTGACGGAAACAAGCTTATAAAAAAGTTTTCTGTCATTGGCCGGAATGATATCACTAGGGCTATATTTTCGTTACTCCGACCAATGGCAGTCCACAATTCTGTACACCGGGCGCCACCTATCTACGGGCATGTTTTTCGACCCGCTGAATACGAATTTCAAGATTAAAATACGATCGAAAATAGTATTTAACAGATCAAAATACATGAAAATTATGCTTGCCTTAGATCTCAAAATTTGTTTTCTTGCCAAAACATCGAATTAAATTTTTTTGGGGTTTTTTTGCAATTTACTCGAAATTGAAGGCTGGACGGCCTAAACTGACTTGAAATTCGTATTCAACGGGTCGAAAAACATGCTCATAGATAGATGGCGCCCGGTGTACATTTTTTATTTGTGTGCCGGTGTTATACTCCAAAGTGTTTCTGTAAGACTGTAAGAAATCTTTGATTTATTCATGTAATGTCTTGGATGTGTCAAATAAAAAGTCAGTCGTTAACCGAAAGAGCGTGTTTTAATAGTAATGACAGTGCTCTACATAAACGTTTGCGTGAAAAGAGTATCTGTAAAATCTATACGCTTTGCTACTGATTCGATAAATGGGGCATAAGCAATTTTTTGACGAAAGTCGCAATAGTAATAAGTGGAAATTATTCTTCAAAGCTAAAGTCGCTGGTACTAAATAGAATAAAAATTTGTGTATAAAAATTAAAAAATATCTGCCAATTTCTCGTCCAAGAATATAACTTAGTATTGACACTGCTTTCCAAATACTTTCTTAATAACTCCTCAATGAGAATGATATTCGTAGTAAAAGTGTACATACTTAGACAATGATAATGATTAAAGAAATAACGTAAATAATATTTTTTATAAAAATAAACTCACCCATCACAAAACTGAAGAATTAAAATCTGTACAAAACAATACAAAAAATTAATAAATCATAATTCAAACAAATAAAAAATACATACACTCAGATAACTTTTGCATTCCATAAACAATTAAAGAAAACTTTCCTTTAACAAAGAACATAAAAGATAGTTAACATATTACAAATTTGACTGTAAACTTACCTCTCAGATTGGAGAAATCTATAGCCTTGTTGGAGTTAATCTGTGCCTCTAACAGTAGTGCTTCGAATCTGTTCAGGAAGAATTCCCACTTGAGGATGCGGCGATCGCTCAACGTGTTGTGCAACTGGTAGATCGACTGCAGCACCATAGGCCGGTCTACTATCACCAGGTCGAATTGTGTCTCCAGACAGTAAAGGAGTAACTGGAATATTTTCATCATTTGAGAAGGATAACACTTTATATATAAAATTTTGTTGCTTTTTTGTGCTGATTGTAAGTCGCACCTGTGTGAAAATCAGGATACTTTCCTGTTTATTACGCTGCTAATATAACACCTTTTACTATGTAACTCAGTGTGGTGACACCGATTCGATCTTGCTTGTTCGAATGAATGTAACATGCGGAAAATGTCTTCAGAATTTACAAAACCCGCTATAATATCATTATTATTTGAGAGGTAGGGTGCTCAGTAAATATGACGCCAGTGCTAGGAGATAGCAAGTTATTCCCATCAATGTCACTCCTTCCCACATTTGTAATCAAAATATTATATCTAGTGACAAATGAAACCCTTTTTTTATTGTGTAAAGATTGACAAAACATAAGCTATTACTCGCTTCTTATACTGTATAAGAGGCAAAGCTGCACTTAAGATTCAATATCAATAGTAATCTTCGTTTATTATAAGAACCGTTAAAGAAAGTATATAACAATACTTTAGTATGTAGTTGCTTACTTCAATCGCATTGTCATGAATGGTGCCGATGTATAACGTTGCCCGCTGTGCCACATATACATTGGTGTCGTCCATGCTGGATATGAGGTAGCAAAACGCGGTAGCCAACGCTGTTTGGAGAGGTAGACTCGTCTTTATGGGCGAACCATCCATAAACCTGTAAAGGTTGAATGTTATCAGAAAAACGTAATTATTTAGAGTGTGATTCAAACTTTAGGGCAGATGTGAAGTCAGCAGCGATTGCCATTATGAGCAAGTTTCAGTTCAGTAGCATCCCGCGCGCGCCTACATTCTATCTTTCATTTACTATGCTATGATTTGAGTAGACTTTACAACCGCCAGTAAATTTAAAACGCAAGAAAGCTTAATGGTGCCGTGTTTCAGTTGGTGAGAAAGGTTAGAGGGCTCCACGACGTAGAGGACTAAGTAAGGTTAGAGGGCTCCACAAGGTAGAGGACTAGGTAAGGTTAGAGGGCTCCACGAGGTAGAGGACTAGGTAAGGTTAGAGGGCTCCACGAGGTAGAGGACTGGGTAAGGTGAGAGGGCTCCACGAGGTAGAGGACTGGGTAAGGTTAGAGGGCTCCACGAGGTAGAAGACTAGGTAAGGTGAGAGGGCTCCACGAGGTAGAGGACTAGGTAAGGTTAGAGGGTTCCACGAGGTAGAGGACTAGGTAAGGTGTGAGGGCTCCACGAGGTAGAGGACTAGGTAAGGTTAGAGGGCTCCACGAGGTAGAGGACTAGGTAAGGTTAGAGGGCTCCACAAGGTAGATGACTAGGTAAGATTAGAGGGCTCCACGAGGTTGAGGACTAGGTAAGGTTAGAGGGCTCCACGAGGTAGAGGACTAGTTAAGGTTAGAGGGCTCCACGTGTAGAGGACTAGGTAAGGTTAGAGGGCTCCACGAGGTAGATGACTAGGTAAGGTTAGAGGGCTCCACGAGGTTGAGGACTAGGTAAGGTTAGAGGGCTCCACGAGGTTGAGGACTAGGTAAGGTTAGAGGGCTCCACGAGGTTGAGGACTAGGTAAGGTTAGAGGGCTCCACGAGGTTGAGGACTAGGTAAGGTTAGAGGGCTCCACGAGTAGAGGACTAGGTTCAGGCCAGTACAGTGATGTAAGAACAGCTCGAGCGGCACACTATCGCTTCAGTTATCTTCGCGACTGGACTTAACTTGCTTTCACATGTAGGGGGGTGATTTGCTGAGACTTGTATAAAAAGGGGATCACTTGAAATGGAATATCTATATAACATAATATGATAATCTAAGTTGCTTGTTGCAAGAGAAGTTGGGTAAAAACACAATGAATTATTCTATGTCAGGTGTTATATAAAAACAAGCTTGCTGTTCCAACTTTAAGATTACAAAAAACACAAACCTCATTTTTAGGGAAATGTATAGCTTTTTATAAGAAATTGCCCAACGATAGTAAATACCCTAGATACACCACGTGCGCTCAAAATGTGTCCCTATGAAGAAGTGCTTGAACACGACTCAAGCACTTCTTATTTCACAGTCAAACGTGGACCGTTGAAAATACAACATGCCACTGAGCTCCGTGAAAAAATGCAAAATGAATACTTAGTATATAAAAAGTCCTTTTTTCGACAGGTATCTAATCAATGTTTGTTAATTTACCGCATTTGAAGCAAATTTTATTATAATACTTACTATAACCTAATTTAATAAAAAATATTCGTGATATTCAAATGCATGGTCGGTAATATAGCCGTATCTTTTCCTCGCGGTCCGTACCTGCTATATTACTGACAGCGCATTCAGAATTGCGCGTACAGTCAAAGAAATAAGGTCTATATTCTTCCGCATATAGCATAGCATTGTTAATCTACCTCATCATAAACTAAAAACTCCTGAGAAAAATACTCTGATGAGCTAAGGAGATTATCGAGTCTAAGTTTACTTAAATAATCGAAGTATCTAGGAATAAAGAAGACTTCACTATTGAAGTAAGGCAGTCTTCTCATTAAATTCAAAAGGAACTATGTATCACATAACTAATTAATGTATTTAATTGATTGTATTGGTAGCGACACGATTTTATGTAAATGTTGCTACTTCTGTTATTGCTGATAATTTTCTTGCGCTCATTCTTCTTAACAGCTAAAAGATGTTCTGAATGGGTGGTAGGAAAAATATTTGACGATTCAAAAGAGCTTTCTATAAGTCAATTTGACTAAAATATAATTTCATTTATTTTTTTTCCATTTAATTTCATTTTAATAGATCATTTAAATAACAACTGCTGACCAAACCACTCTTTTGCAAAAATGTAAGATGTAATTTTAAACTAATTTACAAAAGCATGTAGATAACTAAGTTCTAAAAAGTCCATCCACTTGGTTACTGAAACTAACCATTAATGATTTGTTTACTCCTGTTAATTGCGTTAATTCTCTATTACAAACAATAATAATGTACTAGAAAATTAAAGTACTTAACAGGAGTAAACAAAAAAAAATAAGTGAGTCTTACAGTAGTCGCGTATGATGAGTAACATTTGAAACCTAACCTTATATTAGTGAAAAAAGAAATAAAACCTACTACAAAAGAAATAAGCCATTTGAACATTATGTTCTAAAATCAAATCAAATAGCGCGCGCATCCCAAACATACTGTTATACACTTCCGTCCCACTTGACGTAATCACTCCCTCAAATTGCACGAAAGCGAGAGGAAAGATGTTACACATCAAAAATGATTTCTGTCTTAGCATTTTATGCATCATTTTCCTACTAACCTGATAATAATGCTGACTCGTTCCACAGCGGTGAATCGTACCCGAGCCTCGTGATGATGGAACTGGTCTCGCACCAGGCCACAGAACACGTCGGCACCGCCCGCTAGCGTCACGCAATGCAGTAATACTGGCACGGCCACAGAACATATGTGGGAATGGCACGCGTTGCATACGTTCCAGAGGCTGTGATGAATAAACACGAGAATGAATGAGAAAATAAGAAGCGAGAAAACAAAAATGAGGACAATCAAGCAGTTGATTAGTCATCGAAGATTATCATGTAGCCATATGACATCCACTCACTGCTGCGCGTAAGTCTCCCAAAAAGATCATCAAAGATATAACAGACTAAATCATTGAACTATCTAAATTAGAAACAAAATTATTTGTTAATTATACTTTGTACTTTATTATGTAAGACTTTATAACCCTTCTTCAGAGAATGAAATAGATTATTATTATTATATATATATATATATATTACAACTTCTGCGCTCGCTAGTGTCAGGCAATGCAGCAGTACTGGTACGGCCACGGAACAGATGTGTACCATTACACGAACAAATGGAAGGAAGTAACGCCGCGCTCATTCAGAGTGGCTGCTTAGAACAAATCGGCATTTCTATCATACCCACATTGATGTTACTTAAACAATCATTTCCACGCAGTTTAAGGGAATTATCCACAGCTACACGTGTTATCAAAATCAATAGCGGTATGTCTAGGTAATCATTTTCAAGAAGATGACGGAAGCCGTCCTTCAGATGATCAATTAAATAGCTGGCACACCGGACTATCCGTCTTGGACTGGTGATTCCGCGACCCGCGGTCTAGGATCGTGGAGCACACTTTTCTGATCCTAGAAATGATTGGTGGCATGCTCTTCTCTTGCACATGGGTGTCGTTATTAAAAAAACAAATAAATATATTAATATTGGGAGCAAATTTTTGCCAGTATTAAAGATTCTCACTTATCAATCAGCAAATTCTCCTGGCACCATATGAGGAAGCCCCTGTGATCAGCTAAAGCGTCTGCGTTCAGCACCAAAGTCTGAAGACATTGCAGCAAGTGGTAGAGCACATCCGGCCGCGAGGTGTTCTTCAGTTCCTGTTCAAAATGGATATTATTACAATAGATTAGGGTACAGTAGCAGAATAAATGTCATATTTAAAAATTAACCATTTTTATTCCAGGGAATTAATATAACATTATTATATTATTAGAGTATGAGAATAAATATAATATTTTGTCAATTAATCAATCATTTTCCAATGGTATATAGATCAATGTTTTTATATATTTTGTAACAATAAACAGTAACACGCAACTTAGCCAGGTATAAGACTAATAGTAAAGGAGAACGTGGGAGATCGACCTTCACCGATCTGATAACTCGATGAGACATATTTTTTATCAAATATAATTTATAGAAAAATTAACCAAGTGTTCATAGCTACTTTAGATTTAATTAATTTTCTTTTATCACCTTCACTCTTGTCATAACCGAATGAGTTTTATCTCAATTGATAGTTTTTAACACACAGATTATGCTAAGGTAGGCTTGCCTACTTATTTCTGTGCATGGTAACCTTACAAGTAGATGTGAACAGGTAAGTCAATATAGGTAACTACATCGATCTGTTAAACAATCGAAATTGATATCATTGGTTAGATATTTTAATGACAAAACCAATCATAAAAAAGCGAACGATACTATTTATAGGTGGAGAAAAAGTTATGAGGCGGAAGTGACGTGAAGCGTCAAAATGAAAAATCAATTTTTTGAACAATAAGAAATTATATGAGAATGATTAAATAAGTATGAGAGATATAATAAATCTTTATATATATAATTCTTCTGTGATTCTTCTGTGTATGTCACTGAACTTCTCTTAAACGACTGGACCGATTTTGATGAAATTTTTTGTGTGTGTTCAAGGGGATCTGAGAATGGTTTAGATTCACAATTTTGTCCGCTAAACAACCCCTATTTTTTTAGGGCGGTACGAAGTTCGCTGGGTCAGCTAGTAGATATATAAAAAGTGCCGTAAAGCGGCGAGTAAATTAATACGAAGAAAGTACCATAATATAGAACTTTGAAAAGTCAAGAGCCAAAAATAGGTTTTCAATACCTTAAACTTTCTGTAAAAAATATATGCTAGCATATTTTTAAACATCGTCGAAGACTAATTGCTGTTATGTAAACGTTCGAGAACAAGAGAAAACAACCTATGAAGCTCTGGAAAAATCTCTCATGAACATGATTATGTAAGTGTACAGTGTTGGGGATGTAAACACTTGCCTGCAAAAGCTGATGAATGTACTGCAACTCTTGGGGCAGTTCCTCGATGCAGAAGTGGAATTTCCCAGCGGAAGTGGGCCAGAAGTTGGTCAAGTCGTCTTCAACGGACTCCGCCATACATTCGTTGTCTCCCAACAAATTAGGAGTCGACACCTGTATAGGAGAAATTGCTGACTTATTCCCTGACTGCATTTCAAAACAGTCTGTGCCATTAGCCCAGTATTTTTAAAAGTCACAAAGAACAGAACAAAATTCTTAGGCATATTTTAAAATCAAATTTTGTACTGTAATCAAAATACTTTTATTTATAAATTCATTCATATCAAACATTGACAAACATAAAAACTTTAAAACCGTGTCTCATAAACCTTTTGAGAAATTGTGTTATTATTCGGTTAGTTAGTACTTGTATCGGCTGTGGCAGTGGCGATATCTATATCAATCAGAGTATGGGTGGTGCTTTACGCCCCGTCGACGATGTACCACATACACAGCATCAATTACAGTGTTACAATGCCTGCTCACATGTTCCCTGCATGTTATAACCCTGGCTCCTTTAAGGCGTGGATTACTATTGTGGCAGGTAAAACTGCCAGTCCATTCTCTACACTATGGCTATATTTCACATTATGTGATGAAATGTGGGATAATAATAAATGAGGAAAAAAAGCCCTTGTTGATTTTTTTGCCGGTTTTTTTCAGTGTAAGGTCTCCCGCCGTAGATTTACGAGTCCATGGCGTAGCTTCTAGACATTCATGAGTGATTGAAAAGTGGATCAATGATTATGATTCTTACTCACATCAGCAGTAGCAGTGGCGACATCTGTATCAGTCAGTGTGATAGTGTGAGCAGTGGCCATAGGAGGTTGGTCTGCAGGCGGCAAAGCAGCAGCCATATCCAGTTGTTCGGTGATGGTCTCCACCGTAGCAGTCATGATCTGCGCACACGCACGCGAAAAACTTCACGCCATGTCGACGATGGACCACGCCGCTTCAGTTATACATTGTTACAATTACGTTGTAGTGTGCGTGTGTTATTTTTAATAGACTAGCCTCAGATAACACACTTACTGCCTTATTACAAAAAGTTTACTAAAGTTCTAAAACGGATGCTGTCAGTTTTGTTTGCTAACAAAAGGACAGAAACTGTATTAGACGTCACATTGGATTTAGGTGGATGAAGAATATTTCTATACCACCTATAAACATATGGTAAGATAAACCTTCACTTCCGCATTATGAATGAGTTCCTACACTATATAGAACTCTAAACTGAATATCGAGACAGAAGAGCTAAATCAAACTTTATTTTAAAAACTTTTTAATTAGGGTTCCGTATTCCTGATAAGGAACCCTTATTGTTTCGTCATGTCTGTCTATCCGTCCCCGGTCTTGCTTGGAGACTGTTAGCACTAGAGAGCTGCAATTTTGTGGAGATATATATATCAATCACATGGATTAAATGGTAGAATATTTTTTTTTTAGGGTAGCTCCACTACATGTAACCTGGGGTTTTTTTTTCATTGTCTATCGTATTTCTTTCACCCTATCGTGTGCGGTATCATTAAATAGGTCCTTTAAAATTACTTCAGGGTTCTTAAGACAAATTTTCGATTTAGGGATCTGTTTGCGAAGTATTGAACTTTAAAGTGTTAATTTTTGTTCGAGTAGGGCGCTAAACTAGTGGCTTGAAAAACCTGGAAAAATTCATGATAATAGTGCTTTTCATGAACTTTCAAGGAAAAGTATAACGATTAAGATAGATTTATTGGTTTAAGAGTAATAGTCGTTCAACTTTGGTGAAAGAAAATTTCTTACCTGTTGAAAATCATTTAGAAGAAAACATTAATAGTGACAGAGATAGGCAACTGCGGAACCCTAACCTGCGCGTGGCATGACACGCATTTGGCCGATTTTTTTTTATAATTGAAACACCGAATTGAGGAAAAAAACAAGGTCCTTCATTCATTAATAAAATCAATAAGCTATTTAACAGAATGAAAAATAAGGTACCAACTAATGGCATTTGTATTTAATATGCGTATTAAACAGCGATTTTACTATTCTGAGAGAACAAATAATTATTAACTTTTCTACAAATCATTAAATAGAAATGTTTTTTTGTCCTATGGTTACGAGACCGAAAGCGTCTGGGAGAAATGACGTCTAATGAGTTTGAGTTCGTTTTAATGTGTGACGTCACATACTAGTGAGACGCCATAATATCTAGAGAAACGTTTTCGCGGAAACTATGAAATTAAAAGCTTTTATTTAGTTTTTTTTACTGAAATACACAACAAAATGATAAATACCCACTTTATATGAACTCTATAAACATAAGTAAATAACGTGGGATCGCTTTCCTAAACTTGTCAAATAGTCTATTCTGTCAATATTAGATGGAATATTATGTATATAACATATTTGTATATTAGATGGAAAATATATATCTATTTTGTATATTATTAGTTAAGTATGTTATATAATACTTGGAATCTGTTCGATGGACCGATTCTAATATACATCAAAAACTATCCCCTCATGTTATAGTATTTCTTTTCTCATTATTTGTTATTGTTAGTTATTAAAATACCCTTTCAACATTGAAATTAAAAAAGTTTGATCTCATTTAAGTATTAAAAATGGCCTGCATTTAAGTGGAACAATTTATATACGATGAAAACTGTAACAATGTGTAATTAAAACGGCATGGACAAAACAGGGCTACATTTTTTGTCCTATATTATAATCAATTCGTGAAATCTCATGCTGCTAAGTGTGATGTTAATATTAATAACTACATGTATATTTAATATCCATAAATATCAAGTGCTGATTACTCCTGAAGTGCAAGCAATGAAAATATTGTATGAAAAAATGTAACCCTGATAAATTATTAGCTTACTTTAAATAAATTATATTCGCTGGTTTTACTGTAAATAATAACAATTTCAATTCGATTAATCTACAATGAAGCCGAGAGCGTATTTATGTATATTATCTTTAATTACGTACAGATAATACATAAATTAGTAGTATCAACAATGTCCATAAGGTATATTTTCAATTCAGTTAGAGATGAGTTAGTATACTGTTATCAGTTCCAAGAGAAATTGTATTTCTGTGTGTTATATATTTCTCTTGTCATTCACATCTTGATACTTATATGATATTGATTTATTAACAAAATTCTAGACAAATTTACAACAGTTCTGTTATTGTTATTAACATAATTGTTAAAAAAGATAACTATTGTTTCAGGAACAGTTCAATTGTACAGTTAATAATAAAACTTATCGTTTAGCCATAAAAACATTTGAGTTCACTCTTAATAATTTACTTATAATTTTTGGTGATAAACTATTATACAAATATAACTATGCAACAAGGCAAACAGCTATTATGCATACAAAAATCTCAAACCTACTTGATATTCACCTATATCTACCATCTAGCAAACTGTTTAAGCTCACTGAAATACAATATATTTATTTTGCTTTTTACTCCAATAAAACGTGTAGAATATAATGAAATTTGTTATAAACTATACATCTTCAATGAGTTTATTCAGTCATTGGTACATCCAACTAGCAATATTGATATTCAAGCAACATCGTCAAACACCAAAATGCACACAAACAATCACGTGAAGAAGCGAGGAAAGTAAGAAAGAGATAGACTGACATACTTGCGTGTCGCCTGACGACTTAGTCAATACGGGGTCCGAAGACGCGTCGCTTATGAGTGAGAGTTGCATGAAATGAACAAACTATACATCTATTATAAGATACGGAGGACACTAAAAGGAAGACAGCCGTCTCGCGTGGCGCACAGACACCTTATTTTTGGATAAAATTCACAAAACAATGACCACGAAAAATTATACTAGAATAAATATATAAAATTAGTGACTTTTGTGGCCGATTGTACCTGATAAATCTACACGGGATTTTCTTTTCTAATAAAAAATGTTAAAGTTGAATAAAAAATATACTTTTAAGTAATTAAGTTTATTTGTTTAAATATTAGATTAACTTTCAAATAGGTCGAAAGGTAATAGGATTTGTTATCAAAGCAACATTTATACTACAACAAAGATACTACAAGGGTTTTTAATTTGAAAATTTAGTATTAACAAAAAATAGTGAGTTATGCGATTTTAATAAACTTTAATTACAATTTTAAAATACTTTACATCGGAAAAGCAAACTAAATAGGGAAGATAAAAACCGGCACCAATATTAACACAATTCTCACGTCCCTCCAACTAGAGCCGAATACACTGGACAAATCACACAACAATGAGAAAGAAACAAAATTAAACAACAACAAAAATCGCACCACCCACTATTCGCACATTTAAGACACCTTCCCCAACAACAGAAAGAGACACTACGACAAATAAAATACATATACAGCGGGGACTCGATTAACTAGACTAATTGCTTTTGTAAATCATTTGATTAAAAATATTAGTCATATCCAAAATAAAAACAACATAATAATAGTTATGAAACTGATCATGCTATAATATTAAGTGGCAATATTGCTTGTCAGTACAAATTCAAGCATTCTTTAGGAACTCAAATTGGATGCACGCTACAAGTTATTTGTAGCATCCGATTTTCTACTAGCCTATAGATGATATTTTTAAAACTATGAAAAAATGGACGAAATAATCTGTACCCCTAGTATGAGTTTTAATCATTTTCGAATTACATCAATCGTATCGTCTCGTTTCCATACATTGATTAGCAGCGCCCCTAGCGTTAACTATCATAAACAAAAATTAGCAGTATGAGTTTCATCGAGTCATCGTAAAACGAAAACTACCAAAATGTTCGTATGTCGTTTTTATTTTGGCAGTACAAGTTACAACTTTGACAGCACGTCAAGAGTATACTACGACGTTTGATCGTATCGTCACTCGATTAGAAAATTTCAGTGACTAAGTGTTTTGGGCCAAAATTTTATGCAATCTAATAATGTTTTCGGCACAATATTTAGCTCTCATGCTCGCTGAAGAGATTGACAAAGACCAGTGTGCACAGGAATGACGGGAATTATTACAGCGGAGATGATTAACTTCTTTTATCACCGACAGGCATTTGCATAAAGTTTATATATTTTTTAATTTTATTTCTTTACGGCCTTGAAGTCAACTATACAGACACATACAGCCAAGTATCACACACAGATAAACGTAGGTTCTATACTCTTTGGACACAGATAAATAAGATTAAGTCTAGAGTTTCACATAGATTTGCTTTGTTTAAGGTTGAATTGAATGAATGGCTCAGCTATCTCTTTTTTGGCAAAGAAGAACGAAAGAGACAAAACTAAACAGTGCGAAATTCATTTAATCGAGTCATCGAGCATACGATATCGTAAAAACGAGGAGTGAAATTCTATACTGGTACTGCGACACAATTCGAAAACTTACAGTTTGATCGAATCGACGAAGACGTTTCGTATTAAAAAAACTCATACTAAGGGTACTGAATAACATTACATTAATAGCAACACCGTTAATAAACCAAAAGGCAAAGATTCCGAAATACCAAGAATAAAATTTCAAATAATAATCTCTTCATAACCCTGGGTAATATAATTAAGAAATAATGATTCACGAGTATCTTTATCACAAATATGTCCTTAAAATCGAGTCCACCGTGTAATATGAACAATATAGAAACATGACAAGCGTAACCCGTGGCGAGTGTGGGTGTCTGCGGCATCACGGCGAGGCGACATTGTCGCGCTTTCAATAATAATTTATATACAACGAATGCTGAAATACCAACGAAATTAATTCCGTCCGTTCTTTACTATCACGAAGGAGCCCGGTAATGTAAAAGATATAGACTTTTTTTCGCAGCACTTTTCTTTTCCTATTCTTTTCTGAAGGCTAGGCGCCAAGTAAGACATTTTGAATAAATTTTGATATGATGTAGAAAACTTAAAAGTCGTAAAAGTCATTGGGGAAAACTAAAAGGGTGTTAAAACATATTCGACAGTTAATAATATAAAATAAGTAGCTCGCAACATTAGAACTGTTAACATTTGAAACGCAATGTTTTGAATGTAGCCACTTTTCTTATGTAACAATTTCCATCAGGCGAGATAGTGGTCAAACGCATTGCCTATTAGGCATAAAAAATACAAAAATTCAAATAAAAGTCTACATACGAAAACTAAAAAACGAATAAAGTAGATCAAACCAAGAATAGTCAGATCTACTGTCTCATTAGAACTTTCAAACTTCGATTTGAAAAGTGTCTTTGGAAATAAAATTTAAGTGTTGCCATTTCTCCAATGTATGAAATGTAACCTAAAACTTAGCAAAAATTTCAGAACAAAAGATAATTTACTGTCCCACTCGTACGCACGCTTCAATCAGAACGTTACCTTTCTAACTTCAAAAGTTTTTATTCCAGCACTCTTTATATATAAATTATTATTGATTCCAACATTGTCGTCGTACTCACGTGCGGCATATGCACGAGTACGCCTCCCACTGAGCTCTTGTCGGGCCCCACGCTGTGTGCTAGTGACATCAACGCGTCAACAGATGTCGCGGGAGTGCCGCCAGATTTACTGCGCTCGTCCTCTGATTGGTTCTTACGCGTCTGCGTGTCCGACCAAATGTCGTCCAGCGACGGCTGGTGATATAAAAAATATGCCGAATGAAGCCTTCTCGAAACAGAAGCAGTAACGGTTAAGGTTGCGATTTGGTTGCGCGGTCATGTTGATACACTGGCACGGTGGCAATTTTGTATTATAGATAATCTACACAGCAATAAACGTCGTCTGAACACAGACAAGAGCAATGGTGAAAGGGGCGGAGCTTGTTGTCGCAGGCATAGATATAGTATGCCTTTAGTCGCGGGCGCAGATCGCGGCCTGACCGTGCTTATTTGAAGTCCTCTATATTTTATAGATCATCATATCTAACCGCGACTGCATTTCACCTCTATTTATGCGCTCATCCTCTTATTGGTTCTTACGCGTCTGCGTGTCCGACCAAATGTCGTCCAGCGACGGCTGATAACAAATCGGTCGAATGAATATTGATAGTTTGCTTTTAAGTTAGTCATAAGTCCATGGTTTTTATTGTGGACTAGTGACACTAAAGAGTCCACAGATGTTGTGGGAGTGCCACCAGATTTGTCCTCCGGTTGGTTCTTACGCGTCTGCGTGTCCGATCATATATGATATCGAGGGACAGCTGGTACAGAAAACAAATATCGGAAAATAATTCCACTTGGTACAATTTTCAGACAGGATTCGAGCCTGCGTCTTCAGCATTCTCAACTATGAACTAGTGACATTAGATCATCCATAGATGTCGCGGGAATGCCGCCAAATTTACTGCGCTCGTCCTCTGATTGGTTCTTACGCGTCTGCGTGTCTGACCATATGTCATCGAGGGACAGTTTATAACAAATGACTCCAATAAATTTTCATAGTTTGCTTAAATGTTAATTATAGCTCCGTGGCTTGTATTTGTTAAGAAGCTTTGATTGATATATTCGATCATGCCAGCTCTATCCTAGCCGAATCTTATTTACTAAATCAAATCATACTTCATATTGCAAAATATGTAGTATTAAAAAACTAAGAAGAACTTTAGCGGCAGCGATTATACGACCTAAATTAGACGGCTCATCAAAAGTGATTAATTATTGCAATGATTTATCAATGCGTTGTTTTTATAAACACATCACTTTTGATGAAAGCTAACATTCTAATCCTTTTGGAATTCCCGCGTGAACATCATCTGTGTCGAGTTATTTAATTAAAGAATAAATACTGAGACAGTGTAAGAAATTAACTATGAATGAGCTGTCACTGTTTAGACGTTTTGCTTGTCGTTCATTGATGAGAGATGCATGATCGATGCTATTGAAAACAATCGGTAGCCGGAAGCTATCATCGCGAAGGCACATTTCGATGAACGTCAGTTTAGACATTTCTTTTACGGTGTTTCATCGATGAAGGATCGAAAATGTGTGTGAGTGAACCGTCTACTATCAGCTTAAGGTTCATATTCGAATGGACCGTACTTGGCCTTCATCGAGATCAGTCACGAAGCGCCGCGGCGTTCTGGGTAAATCTGGTTCCAGTACCTTCATGGTATTCGTTTCAGAGCATTTGTGACACTAAAATGTTATATCGAGGACTTCAACGGCGCAAGTGGTAAGCGCGTTCGGCTGCGATCGTTGAAACTAAGCAACTTTGGCAGTGGTCAATCATTGGATGGGAGATCAAAATTCACTATCTCGAGCTCCTCCGTTCGTTAGCACCCACCAATCCATCCGCACTGAGCCCGTGTGATGAGTCATGGCCCAATCTGCCAATTCCATCGATATGGAAGGCCTGTGCCCCAGCAGTGGGGACATTAATAGGCTGAAGATGATGAATCTTACCTCAGTCATGAAACGAGGTTTGTCTGGAACAAGTGCACGCACTAGAAGGACAGCGAGTTGATGCCATAAAGCTGCCGCTTCGCAGTAAGAACAAGCGCCTTCAGCTAAGCACACCGCTATAGAATATAAAGCTATATCAGTTATTCGTAATGGAGAGCACGGTACCCCTAGCACGAACCAAAATCGAATTCGTAACGTTTGCGAGTCCGAAATGTCATTGTCAAATGTGTACTGATTTTTAGTTCCCGTTACGTCGAAAGTGACGCTGCTGTTCAAGTTTCCATACAAAATTTGACATTGAAATTTCGGTTTGCAAACTATTCGAATTCGATATTGGTTCGTGCTGGGGGTACTGATTACAGGCAGTCCTCGACGTCGAGTTACGTCGTTTCAAGTTACGTCGAACAATGTTTTGACACTATTCCTCAAGCATTCGTTAATTGTTGCGATTTCCGGCATAGGAGAATACACTTGTCGCGAGGTCAATGCCCGTGGGGCCGGCGTTCGAGGAGATGTTTCGGCTTACGTCGTTTCGATTTACGTCGCGTATTTGGAAAACTTTACATACCGTAAGTACGACTGCCTGTATAGGAAAATAATTGAATGTCGTATATTATTCAACGGAACATCGAGCCGGAATGTTTCGGTGTATTTGGTGAAAGGGTTGACAACACTAGTTACTTATCAATGTCATCTGACCGTTGACATCTGTCACTGTGAATGTGTAAAATGAACGCCCATGCTTTCCGCTTGCAGCTTTACCAATAGAGTCGTAGCTGCGGTGTAAGGACAGGACGGAATATGATTTTCCAAATCATCGCTTAATAAGATAACACTACTTAGGTTTTAATTATAATTAACATAACTACTAAGCAGTTTCCACTTTCCACTTTCTCATTTCATTGTTGTATTTTATTCTATAAGTGATGTAAACAACAAGTGGAATATCAGTTTTCGGGACATTTGTGATCTAGACATCGAGCTGTTCGGTCGTGTTGCCAACCCCTTACCGACTTCACCATGTTCCGATTTAATTTGTTTGCTCGGATAGCAATCACAGTTCATTTTGAGCTGATTATTCGTTAGACTATAATTGTATAATAAGACAGTGCAAACTATTTGGAGGATTTGTAATAGACGTGATACCACGATAGTACGTGGGCTTTCTGAATCAGAAGTGGGGTTGCCCAGTAATGAGAACCGGCGTGAAAGCGCTACATATAAATATTTCTATAGCACTCATTAGCCTTGCCCACTGTAACGGCCAAAATGAAGGTGTTCCGGTGAAGAAAAATTCCACGCGGACCAGGCTGCAGACTGCACTCTAACCCGCACCCTTTGCTATCCGGTCGAATGCACTGGCCATTATGCTACCGCGGCTACTGTGCCCCAGCAGTGGGGACATTGATAGGCTGATGATGATTATTATGCATACCATGTTCGATAGTGTTGGTCTGGTTAGATTTGAGCATAAGTCGTAGCAGCTTAGTGGCTTCGCTGCTTACGTTCTGTATGTTGATGCGTCTTTGTTGCAACTCCATCTGAAACATAACAGCAAATTATTGCTTAAACTTTAATCGCCTAATTTTATTGATTAGCATCATAAACACTCTTATTAACAAAGGAATAAGCTTGGATTAGTAACTCCATGTTTTGTCTCTGTTCGTTGATTGACAAATTTCATTTGAGTGACATGAACAAAACACAGCGTAACTAGTCTAAGCTTATTGCTTGTAATAAACAAGGAATAAGGTAGGAGGTAGGTTTATTTATATACCTCGCTTCGCTTCGGTGTAGAGCTGTAGTGTAGACTATAGTTTTTGTTCTCAGGTTTGAATTATACACAATGACTTTATTTATATAATTATAAACCTTCCATAAAAAAATATTTATAGAAGAAACAGAACAAAAACTACTATAATAATATAATTAAATCTGAATATTTGATTACCAGTTAGGTTAGGTATGTTCCTATTACTTTACTTTTGTGAACAAATGACGTTTGCCTAAATATTTCGCAAGGGTAGGTAGCTACAACAAAGTCTTTAAACTTAATAGGTAGATAATTATATTTATACTTAACTATAGCATTTACATGTAAAATCTTACCTGTTTCAGCAATATGTCAAGCATCAATATGCAGCAGGTGAGGTTTTGTGGTTTCATCTGGTCGTCTTTCTCTTTCTTCTCTATATCGGCGGAAGAGGGAGAACTATCATTCTTTAAGCCCTCTATAATAGAAAATAACTAGTTTAGTTATAAAAAAAACTTGATTTTTTGCATTTATATATACTCCATCAGAGGCCCAAACATGAGTTTTGACAGCTCCGTAATCGTATCGCATCGTCTGAGTTTCTATGAAAACTTAGCAGCACCCCTACCGGACGTAAAAACAAACTGGCTCCTTCGATACAAAATTTCACGATGACGATACGCTTAAGGAGCTGTCAAAATTCGTACTTGGGCCTCAGAAAATACATTAGTTAAGGTTAAAATAATGATAAAAATATTCTACCTGTTTGAGGTTTGAATATTTTCTCGGGTAAATTGATGACGCAATGACTGAAAAGGTCGAACAGTTGACTCAATGGAATCTTCACGTCGAGCATTGATATAGTCTGTAAAATATAAAATCTTTTTATAGATCATCATCATCAAGGGCCTATTAATGACCCCACTCTGGGACACAGAAAAGAAAACGCAACGCTCAATGCAGATGGTGATTTGGCCGTTTGGCCCATAGCTAGCAAATTGTCACTTCAAGGCTGCGTTCTCAACCTACTCTCTGAATGCAACTTTTTACCCTGACGTTTCAACTTTGGCATAAAATATATGTCAAACTATTAAAACAATAAACTTATGTCAACAATAAATTTTTGGCCTTTTTTTGGCATCTGAAGCGTAAGTTTGGAACACAGCAAAAGTCTTATATTGTAAATTGTCAATTATCTTTTCCATTAATGATTATTAAAATTACCTGAAGCCACTTCAGTACTGGCTCATAACAAGCCACCTGTCACTTCAAGGCTACGTTCTAAACCTATGCTTTGTGCGTAATTTTGTACCCCGACGTTTAAATTTTGACATTTATAATGTATGAAAATTATCTCAAATACGACATCTTATACACCGACAGGTTGTAACACAGCCCAAGTCTATCGGAATTTGTCGGTTTTCCTTGTGACTTTCATAGTTGTCTCGAAGGGACATTCGACACCTGTGCCTCTGGCGAGGTAAATTGACATGTTTTAGAAAACGATCTCACGTTATTGACTTATGTTTATGGAGTCCGTAAACATTAGTCAATAACGTGAAAAAGTGGATATTCATCATTCTGTTGTGTATTTCAGTAAAAATAACCATGTCAAAAACTCCATTTTCAAGTTGCCGCGAAAACGTTTCTCTGGATAATACGGCGTCTCACTGGTGGTGACGTCACACGACTGTTATTAAAACGTCAAACGATACAATGTAATGTCACTTTAACCGGAAGTTTACTTGCGTGTGACGTCATTTTAGGCTCCGCCAATCCCAAGCGTTTGGGGTCACGTGACAATAGATAAGAAAACTATTATCTTTTTCGTGGGTTTTTAGTAAAATTATGAATATTTTTTTTGTCAAAATAGTAAAAACCACTGCCAATATTCATTCTAAACACAGATGCTAACAATTGGCACTTTATTTTTAATACTGTGAAATACCCTATTTTCTTTTCCATTAATGATTATAATAATTACCTGAAACCACTCCAGTACTGGCAGAACAGTCTCCGGAGTCGGAGTATCTGAAACCCGTTGAGCCGCGAATTTGTACAAGTTCTTCTCATCTACCCCCACCATACTGCCGTCTGGCTCAAGTATCTTAGCCAATGGTATCTTTAGCTCCATAAGCTCCTATGATTATAATTAAGTTTTTGTTAAAATAAGTTTTATGTAACAAAATATGCCATGATTAATAATAATATAAGAAATACTAAGGACATTTTTTTTTTCGATAAAATATTTTTTATGCATTTACAAATCATTATGTTGTTACAACGTCAATACAATCATGATTTTTTTTATATAGAAAACCTGTTGGAATGATCGGAACAGTTCAAACCCAAGCATTTATGTCTGTAATATGGTAATGGTAATACATGGTACTATTCTTTTACACTTACACTAAGGCTAATTTTACATTAAATATTAAATGACATCTTCAGCCAAACTAGGAAGTTCATCCTGTATTTTGGCTTCAGCGCCCTTCCCCTATTTTCAGATACAGAAAAAAAAGTCAATACTAACAATAAACAAAAAATATATGAAATCAACGTTATTCAAAATTACAAAACGTTTATTTACTTAAAGATATTAAACTTTTATAAAATATAATCACACTTTGTTTAATAAGTGCTTTTTTATACTATCTTTGAATTTTTTCATGGTTAAAACTGTTAGATATTACTTGGGACTTTATTGTATAAGCGAACACAAATATTTTAAACTATTAATAAAATTTGCAATCTTTAAAATATTAATAAAAATTTTCATATCGGAAGTCAGTGAATTTTCCTAATGACAAAAATTACTCTATAAATTTCCTGTAAAGACCTTAAGAAAATATGATAAAGAATAATCTTTCGTGTCCTTACTCTCATACCACAGAGAAGGGGGCTCTGTGTCTTATATTGAACTGGGATATAAAAGAAAAAAACTATTATTTTTCCGGTGAGATGAAAAAATTCTATTAAACTTGCGATTTACTGTATATGTATCTGAAAATATTATTTATGCCCCTTTGAGAAAGCTGTACTTATATAAAATGTATGCATCTATGTAAAGCATGATGTGGCTACCTTCAATAGATTTTGCATTTTGTATGTATCACTATCATTATAGTGCAATCTAACCAGAGAAAGTTACATTAAATCTTATTTTGAAACATTTTTAAAAATAAGATTTAATGTAACTTTCTCTGGTGGTCCTAATAAATAAATAAATAAAAATAATAAAATAAAATACACTATTGTTAAACATAAATAATTTTACCTTTTCTGGTACATCAGTGCATATAGCTTCCATCCACGCCGGCATAATGTAGTCCCATATAGATTGAGTTATTATTCCGTAAGGAATAAGACAGTACAACCTGCCGATGAAATAATTGAGTTTGATAATAATTACTATTAAACATTATATTTTTTTATTTTTTAAACTTCGGGTTGCGGGTTCGAGTCCCGTCTGCTGCCTGGTCCGCGTGGATTTTTTTTCTTTAGATTTAAATCATTATTAAACGGTTAGCTTCAGGTCAGGCTATCTCAATATGTGTGAAAACGCCCCCTTGTTAAGGTCCCTATGTTGACTTATTCATACCTATTCGAGGCGAGATTATCCCAGTTTCCCGCCGAGCTAATGTAATGGAACAAAAACTCATGTCGAAATATTCGAATTACGAAATTAAAGATAGTTTTATAAAGGAGTTCTTTATGAACGCACATACATAAAATTAAAACTCATGACAGGACTTCTAGCTGTATCGTAATAGTTATTTATGACACAAGTCCGGAAAGTTGGTTATTACAAACGAGTAGACGAAAGTAACACACAACACATTTGCTCAAAAATTGCATTTTCATACAGATTTTCATACATAAAATGAAACTTTACTCATTATATGCTCCTAATCATCATCCTGTAGCATAATGGTCAGCGCATTAGCCCGGATTGCGAAGGGTGCGGGTTGGAGTCCCGTCTGCTGCCTGGTCCGCGTGGATTTTTTTCTAGTAATATTTTCTTGACATTAAACATCGAGCAGTTACATGCATAAAAAATAAAAATTATAACTTAGATATGAATTATGTGTTAGAAATATTTTACCGGCAAATCGAACACACCATACGCGTCTGTCTGTATGTCTGCTGACTTCTCCTTAAGCTCGACACATTTTTTTATAGTTACCTATTCAAGCCATCTTTAAGGTGATGGGCCTTCGAAGCCAAGTTGTCCCAGTGCCCCGCCTGCCTCGTATAATGCGGTGGATGAGGTAATAAGCAAGCGACTAAAACGCCGCGATGCGACTCGCCGATACTCCGGACCCAACCGCATACGTGTTCGAGTTTAAGCTTCTCTACCGCGTTTGCTGTGTCTCCTGGAAATAAGATAGTTTATTGATGTGTAACATCTTTCATCTCGCTTTCCTGCAATTTGTGGGAGTGATTTCGTGAAATGGGACGGAAGTATGTAACAGGAAGTCACGAAAGCGCGCGCTATTTGATTTGATTTTAGAACATAATGTTGAAATGGCTTATTCCTTTTGTAGTAGGTTTTATTTCTTTTTTTACTAATATAAGGTGAGGTTTCATATGTTACACATCATGCGCGACTACTGTAGGGCTCGCTCGTTTTTTTTTATATTATTACTAGCTGTCCCAGCAAACTTCGTACCGCCATAAAAAATAAGGGTTGGTGGTTGAAGGTTGAAAATTCAGGGTTGTATGTATGTTTGTATGATGTATCATAAAAAATAAAGACAAAAAAATTGACAAAAAAAATCAAGGGTGGAGCACCCTTAACATTTAGGCGGATGTAAAAAAGATGTCGTCCGATTCTGAGACCTACTGAATATGTATATAAAATTTCACGAAAATCGGTCGAGCCGTTTCGGAGTAGTTCAATTACGCACACCGTGACACGAGAATTTTATATATTATATGTTGATGTTTTAAGTATCTAAAGAATATTTTGACTAGATAAAACAACCACGCGTTCCAGACACCAGGCGGGACTCGGACCCGCATCCTCCGCTGTCCGGGCGCTATCTGCCTTGCAGCCTTAAAAAACACTAAAAGAAATTCGACATAGCCATTAGGGTCGCGGTAGCAAAATTGGTCAGTACCTCCGCCCGGATAGCGTAGGGTTAAGGTTCAAGTCCCGTCTGCTGCCTGGACCGCGTGGTTTTTTTTCTAGTAAAAAATCTTTAGAAATAATAATGGTACTTTTTACTAAATATTTTTTTTAAACAGCAATTCCATATTTTTATTAGCTATACTAGAAATGAAGTCAACTTCAGCCACGTAACAAAAAATAATGTAGTAACAAAAAAAAAAAGAAACACTGGTTACTAACGAATGGACGGGCCATAAAAGTCATTTATTTTCTACACGTCCCATTTACTTTATGCTGCTTCGGGACAATAAATGGGCCAGTGCTAAAAAGCAGCACAAGAAACGCTTGATAACCCCGCTTTTTACATTTAGACAAAAATGTGTATCGTATATAAATTAAAGTGTGTAATAGTTAGAATTACAATATGCATATATCAAAATATTGATATACACTCTCATGCCGGCACTTGGCTATCCGTATTTGCTATTTGTGAACTTAAAAACAGTAGTGTCCATTCTGACATGCTTCTCTAAACCTAAACTTAAATTTTTCTTAAATTTTAATTTTATACAGATTGAAAATGAGAGACCGAAGTTAAATCTAGTTTTAAATTTAGAGAATCATGCCAGAATCGACACCAGTATGTCCTTATCATGCTTTATAAGAGCCTGCGCTGCGTTAAGCAGGAACACGGAGCGGGCGTCCGCTCGGCGTGTTTGTTTCATAGAACAGCGCTGCGTAAGGCGGGACTAAACGTGGAGCGGACGCCTGCAACATGCTGCCGCTTAACGCAGCGCAGGCTCTTAGTAATGAAAAGGAAAGAAAGATGTCAAGTTCACAAATAGCAAACACGAATAGCCAAGTGAAGTGCCGACATCAATTCTATACCCGGTATAAGAATAGAGTGGGGAAGGCGGCTCTAAAAGTGTCCTTCTAGTAAAAAGAGAAAGAAGATGAGAGACCGCTAGCTATCTCTCTCACTTGTGACGCATGACATCTAATGGGATCACATTGAAATAGTAAGATGCTTACAGTTGCCAATGCGCATGCGCGATTAAAGAGAGAAAGCTAGCGGTCTCTCATCTTCTTTCTCTTTCTATTAGAGGGACACTTCCACTTGCAGTAGAGTCTGTATCTCCCCTACTCTATTCTTATACCTCTATGGTTATCAAACTCACCCGTATACGAAAACGAAGTGACATGAAACCAATGGAACAGTACAGACAGCAGTCGCCCCAGTACTTCGTCCGGAGTATCGGGGTTAGGGGTGCACAGACCCACCATCAACCATACGCCATATCTACGACAATACAGTGAAAATATCTGTCACATATCTATACATATAATAATAAATAAATATTTCCAACACTCACACCAATTAGCCTAGCCCCAAGCTAAGCACTAGAAGGCTTGTGTTATGGGATACTAGGGTAACGGATAGAATACATATGCTGTATATATATATAAGTATATTTATATAGAAATACATCCTTGACTGGAATACAAATGCTCGTATTCATCACACAAACATCTGCCCCCACCAGGATTCGAACCCGGTACCTCTCGAGTCGGCGACACCATGAAACCCGGCGTTCAAACTACTCGGCCAAGGAGGTCGTCTAATATAATAGAATGGTAGGAAAGTCAAAACTGTACATTGAATATTTTTTTAAAAGAATACTTGGGGTGTGATAACAATCGATACAGAAGCCAAAAAAATAGCTTTTAGAATTTTTATCTGTTTCTCTGTATGTATGTCCGGGATAAACTCAAAAAGTACTGCATAGATTTACTACAAATTTGGCACGAATATTATTAAGAAGCCGGGTGAACATATAGGCTACATATTATCACGCTATCACCTACGAGGAACGAACAATGAACCTTTATTTATCTAACTAACTCCACGCGTACGAAGTCGCGGGCGGTCGCTAGTCTGTCATATACTCTAAATCAAATTATTGATACTCGAGCATATTATTTTGATGTTTCATCAATAACACGATATTCTTTGTGAAATGGGCGTTCCCCTTCCCCAATTCCCTGAGGAGCTACTTTGAGAGCGCCTTTTTTCATTACATGACAATATGGAAAAAAATGCAATATTGTATTTTTTATTCTGTGAAATTCACAATGACAAAGAAAAGTGATCTCAAAACTATAACTCTTTGCTACAAAACAGAGCTTGAATTTAGTTTAATGGTATTGAAATACTGTGTATTAATTCACATCCTTCATTAAAATAATTTACAAGATTCATGATATTGTTGATGGAGTCTTAAGAATTCCGACTAACAAAAACATATAATATTAAATAAAACAAGTTTCAACGGGTTAGATGTACTGATTTTATTTATTTATTGACGTTTCGCAGCCTTTTCAGGCCTGCGTCGTCCGAATAATCTTATATATAAAATTCTCATGTCACAATGTTCGTTACCATACTCCTCCGAAACGGCTTGACCGATTTTCATAAAATTTGATATGTATATTCAGTAGGTCTAAGAATCGGCTTCTATCTATTTTTCATACCCCTTAGTGTTAAATGTTGTTCTTTTTTTATAATGAGGCATTAAAAATACATACAACCCTAAATTTTCACCCTTCTACCACCAGCCCCTATTTTTATGGCGGTGCGAAGTTCGCTGGGTCAGCTAGTAATCATATAAATAAATCATTATTCGGATGAAGCAGGCCTTAAAAGGCTGCGAAACGTCAAAAAATAAATAAAATCAGTACATCTAACCCGTTGAAACTTGTTTTATTTAATGAGTGATATGCGTGAAAACCTAAGAAACAAATATATATAATATTATTGTTATATCGCCTAAGCCCAGATTGACGATTTAGCCAAAAAATGTGAGGATAAATAAATTATCCTTCATATAAAAAAAAATGTTTTTATTTAGAAAACTCCCCCAACGACGAAACGGTGAAATCTACATTATTTTATGTATTTTTTTACCAAACTACATAATTTTATCAACGAACTTGTCTTAAAATGAAGACCTCACCTGCCTAACAGTTGCCTGTCTTCTACAGATATAGGGTCCGGTAAGTTGACGCTCAGCGGGGGCTTCAGTTGTTCAGTAGAACTATCCGGGTCTTCCATATTGATCGGCTTTGCTTCTTTCAGCAAACTGTAAAAGTTTACATCATCAACCAAAACCCCTTATTAAAAACGAGGACTCAAGTAAGACTCGGTTTAAACATAATTCTACCTTTACCTTCTTATTAGCTAACAAGGTGACAGCATTATTTTCAGCCCAGGTTTGACTTCAGTTAATCTTTTGTTATAAGGTCGATTATAAGTGCGTTCGGCTGCTATCTTTGAAGTTAAGCAACTTTCGCAGTGGTCGGTCATTTTAATGGGTGACCAAAAATCTTCTATCTCGAGTTCCTCCGTGCTTCGGAAGGCACGATAAGCCGTTGGTCCCGGCTGCATCTGCAGTCGTTAGCATCCGCCAATCCACACTGGATCCGCGTGGTGGGTCATGACACAATCTCCCTATTTCATCCATAGGGAAGGCCTATGCCCCAGCAGTGGGGACATTAATAGGCTGATGATGATCATGATGATAACTCCGTAAAACAACTGCTTTTTTTGAAACAATTAGATAAAAATAATTTAGTCAATAATAATAATAATTGTATTGCACTAGCGGTGCTTGGAAATTAGCTGCATCTTATGGTATTGAATAAAGCTAAATATAGAATGTGTGAGGTGGGCAAGACACAAACTATTATCATTAGATCACAACGCTCGCATATTTTTTTACGAACTACTCTTTGAACCAGTTTCGTTAAATACTCACAATTGATGTCCATAAGTCCCATTTATCTTTAAGGAGCTTAACGTTGTCATATTTGAATTATGTTAAAAAAACCTATATACAAGGTAAAGAAATACAATAACCAGCGGAGTCTTACCCTTCAGTTTGCATATTTTAGGTTCTTTTTGATAAGTGTTTCTTTCTGTTTTTGATACGCATTTAGTACTTACTTTTTTGAAATCATTTAATTTAGGTTTTAGTTCCATAGTAAGCACTATTACGGGGAAATTGAATATGGCCTGATAATGGCCTCCACCAAATTGGTCTGCATGTCGCTGTCCATCTGCCAGGCGTGTGGAAGGCGAGTATGAACTACGTGGTCGCCGCATCGACGGCTGTTTTTACTGCTGCCGTGACACTGCTGTACTAAATACTATAACGAGGAAATTGAATATGACCTGATGATGGCCTCCACCAGGTTGGTCTGCATGTCGCTGTCCATCTGCCAGGCGTGTGGAAGGCGAGTATGAACCACGTGGTCGCCGCCTCGACGGCTGTTGTGTCTGTTGCCGTGACACTGCTGGCAGTATCTACCGGCAAAGTACCACGTTAGTTCCTTCACAGCAATAATATAAAAGACACCAACAAGTTACAATCACGATGGAATTTAACTCTTCTTAAATAATGGTGACGTTAAATGTCGTAAAAACGTAGAACAGCAGAAAGAAAACCAGAATAGTGTAGGTATCTAACAAGTTTAAGTAAACGATCTCATGTTATTGAGGTACTAATGTTTTTGGAATCCGTAATGTGGATACTTATCATTCTGTTCAGTATTTCAGTAAAAAAACTAAATTAAAAAAATCCACTTTCATGTTGTCGCGAAAACGTTTCTAAACGACACACGACTGTCATTAAAACGTCAAACGATACAATGTAATGTCACGCTGACTGCAAGTTTACTTGCGTGTGACGTCGTTTTAGTTTAAACCGAGGATGACTGAAAACGACTTTTTGGTCTCGTGGCCATAGAAAAAAAAATATGATTTTTGAACGATATTAATTGTTTGACAGCAGGTAAAATGAGTCTTTCTGCAATAGCATGGGGCTTAGATTCCCTCGCGACTCGCAGTGCTGCTAAGTAGTATGCATGAAGTGCTGCAGTCTCATTATCTCGGCTGGATTTTTTTATAGCACTTTGTTTATTTTTTAAAACAAGTAAATTACGCTCGAAGAATTCTAACGATTGGCCTTGTAAAGACGGGTGTCCGGTTTCCAAATGCCGGGGTAATTTTGAAGACTTTATACTTTCCGCAGATAGGACTTGAAAACAAACAATGTTGTTTATCCTGTTCTTTTTATTCACCGTTTCACCGGACGTAGAAGGAGCATTTCGTTTTGTCAAATATTTGTCCATTTTAATTTCACTTTTCACAGGAGCTCGATGGCGCGAGTGGTTAGCGCGTTCGGCTGCGATCGTTGAAGTTAAGCAACTTTCGCAGTGGTCGGTCATTGGATGGGTGACCAAACATTTACTATCTCGAGCTCCTCCGTGCTTCGGAAGGCACGTTAAGACGTTGGTCCCGGCTGCATCTGCAGTCGTTAGCACCCACCAATCCGCACTGGACCCGCGCGGTGGCTTATGGCCCAATCTCCCTATTCCATCCATAGGGAAGGCCTGTGCCCTAGCGGTGGGGACAGTAATAGGCTGATGATGATGATGATGAAACACTGAGTGAGTGAGATAACATAGTTGGAATGTACTTGCTTCCCTGTACTACTTCCCTAAAAATATGTATGTGTTTTTATAACTAAGGCTATTAACATGTACCAACCTGTCCTAGAGTATGTACCACGAGATGCTCAAGCGGGTGATTTGGCAATTTCGTGAAAGTACATTAAAACCAGTTAAAACTAGCGCGCTATGTACAATATTAATATAATTATAAAGTGACGGGGTCGCAAGACTTTTTACTTAAAATTTTTGGCTTTTTCGTGGGTCGTGACATAAAAATGGTTAAGAAACGATATTCTAATACTTTAAAAATCTATATTAATATTAATAATTTACCTGATCGGATGATTGCCGTTGTAACTCGCGCATTCATTGGAGAAGCAAATCGAATACGCAGCTTTATCCGTAGACCGGCAGTTCTGGCAAATTAATATAATTTATTTTATTTTCTCCAAATTAAGTTTTGGAACATATCATTTAATTGAATAACTCATTTTATTAATTCATTTATTAAAAATTTTACAAATTTGTATATAAAATGTCTGCCTAAAGTATAATAAAAAGAAATACAGACTACAAGTGGCAATATTTCTAATCGTCTGAACGATACGTACATATCACCTTACTTAAAAGTCTGATTATATAATAATAATATTTTTTGGTATTAAATATTTTTTCCAATGCTATTTTACGGTCTATTACTCTTTTTAAGCTATAAACTTTGGCTAACTTTATAATAATGGCCATTTGTCTACGGCGCTTGAGAAGCTAACTTTCCGTGCAAATCGAAAAAATCTATTAGCTGTAAGGACCGGTTAGTAATGTACTCCGCAGGCAACCTGTCAATATTGTTTCCATATCTAATATGTTGTTCTCTGATGTTCTGTGTAAGTAAGGCTATGTATTTGAGACTTTAAGTATTATGTTGTCTAAGATAAGAGACAATATCTAAATTTTCTACTGTCTAGGAGGATAGAAATTACCTTGTTCTCACAAACCATGGAGACTTGCTGCTGTGGATGTAAGATGTCGAAGAAACGTTGATTGGGATGTTCCCTGCAAACGAGAGGTTCTTTCAATTCACATTTAACAATATACCGACAAAAGGCTAATAAAAGCATGCGCTACAAAATTACTAGACGTAGTATTTTTTAATTTTTTGGGCATTATAAAGAAGAATTATTGTCCTTTTTGCAAATTCAATGAAAAAAAATATTGTACATTATAACTTAAGAACCCCCCCCCCCCCCCCCCCCCCCCCGCTCTCCATTTTCTCATTCATATTATTAATGGATAGAATTATGTCAGGAGGTAATAAAAATATATTTAAAGTTTGGTTGTACCAATGAAACAAATAAAAAGTCCGAAAACACGTCATTTCTATTAGATCGCTTCAAATTTTGATCTCGCTTAAGAGTGTGAGCCAACGATATTAAAAACCCCAGATAGAATCAAAAAACGAACAAAATCATGGGCAAAAACTGTCCAAAAGGTACATTGAAATATCCACGAAGCTGCGTGGAATGATCACGTAGCCAAAAACAATATAAGGCATCATTTAAACATTTATAGTCACCATCAATGCAATATAAGGGCTTCATTTAAACGCATACGTCTAAGAGTTAGGACAGTTCGGAATGCAAGCTCGTTAAATTTTACGACTTGTCGCTATAGGCCGAAAAATTTAGTCTCTATTTCTATAATTGTACATATCGTTATTCTGCGCGCGCTGTATCATAGAGACCGCATAACCGACCATGCATTTCATTATTATTAATATTTTCTATTTAATCGCTTTATAGTACTTATTAGAACAAAATTTACTTCAAATGCATTAAATGAACAAAAATTGATTTGATACCTGTCGAAAAACGGCACTTACGGACTATAAGTCTTTTTTTTTCATTATTCACGGAGCTCTGCGGCATGTTAAATATTTTAAGGCTCCCGCGTGACTGTGAACCACCAACAAGACGTTTGTGAGGTTTTTAATATCGTACGTATGAGCACTTTACATATTATTTAAGTTTGTGTCATTATACCCACCTGTGTATCTCATTCGCGCACTCAATGCACAGATACAGAGGCGGGGGACTGTCGGACGCGAAGGTGACGCTGATGCAGTGGTCGTAGCACACCTTGGCCGCCTCGGCCGAGCCCGCGTTGGGGCACATGTCGCGCTGGCACAGGAACGGGACCAGGTCGTCTGTGACGTCATATACATTAACTATGTAAGGTACAGAGGCGGGGGACTGTCGGACGCGATGGTGACCTAATGCAGTGTTCGTATCAAATTATACTATGTAAGGTACAGAGGCGGGGGACTGTCGGACGCGAAGGTAACCTGATGCAGTGGTCGTATCACAATATACTATTTAAAGTACAGAGGCGGGGGACTGTCGGACGCGAAGGTGACCTGATGCAGTAGTCGTATCACATTATACTATGTAAGGTACAGAGGCGGGGGACTGTCGGACGCGAAGGTAACCTGATGCAGTGGTCATATCACATTATACTATGTAAGGTACAGAGGCGGCGGACTGTCGGACGCGAAGGTAACCTGATGCAGTGGTCGTATCACAATATACTATTTAAAGTACAGAGGCGGGGGACTGTCGGACGCGAAGGTGACCTGATGCAGTAGTCGTATCACATTATACTATGTAAGGTACAGAGGCGGGGGACTGTCGGACGCGAAGGTAACCTGATGCAGTGGTCATATCACATTATACTATGTAAGGTACAGAGGCGGCGGACTGTCGGACGCGAAGGTAACCTGATGCAGTGGTCGTATCACAATATACTATTTAAAGTACAGAGGCGGGGGACTGTCGGACGCGAAGGTGACCTAATGCAGTGGTCGTATCACATTATACTATGTAAGGTACAGAGGCGGGGGACTGTCGGACGCGAAGGTAACCTGATGCAGTGGTCGTACCACAATATACTATTTAAAGTACAGAGGCGGGGGACTGTCGGACGCGAAGGTAACCTGATGCAGTGGTTGTATCACAATATACTATTTGAAGTACAGAGGCGGGGGACTGTCGGACGCGAAGGTGACCTGATGCAGTAGTCGTATCACATTATACTATGTAAGGTACAGAGGCTGGGGACTGTCGGACGCGAAGGTAAACTGTACCCTTAGTACGAACCAATATCGAATTCGAATAGTTAAATCCGATTTCTTTTATAAGTCAAATGTGTACTAATATTTAGTTCTCCTTATGTCCGTTATGGCGCTGCTGTTCAAGTTTCCATACTGACAATGATATTTTGCATTCGCAAACTATTCGAATTCGATATTGGTTCTTTATAAGGGTACTGATGCAGTGGTCGTAGCACACCTCGGCCGAACCCGCGTTGGGACACATGTCGCGCTGTCGCGGACCACGTAGTCTATGCCGTCATATAGCCGCGGTCACATTTATTTATTTATAGCCTTACAACACAATGGGGAAGAAAACTGCTAATTTATCACTTAAGAGGCGAAGGTGTCGAATGGCCTATAAAAACAAATCGAGACAGCTGTCAAAGTCACAAGAAAAACCGCCCAATTCCGATATACTTAGGCTGCGCTTCAAAACTACGCTTCAGGTGCAACAAATGTCAAATTTGACACAAGTTTCAAAAATTTTCTTCAAATTTAGAACGTCAGGGAACGTCAACTTTTGAAAAAGTTGCACTCAGAGCGAGGTTTTAGAACGTAGTCGTGAAGTGGCAGTTTGCTTTTAATTGGTCAAGCGACTAAAGTCAAGGTCAAGCGGCTATCTGTAATGAACTTAGCGTATTCTTCCCCATTTGATCGCATTCCGAAAGAAAGTGACCACAAAACCGGCGGGCTTATATAAATGAAGCGAAAGGTGAGTACGGGATGTGCATTGTGGCGCTCTGTTTTTTCTGCCCGGAGCACGGCATGATGACAAATATATAGATATTACCACAAAAAAGTATGACATGCATTCAACAGAAGTTTAAGAAGAAAATGACATGCGAAATTTGCCTATACGGGGTTTTAAATAGTAGATCGAAAATAGTATCAATGAATAGTATCAAAATAGTATCAACTTTTGTGACTAGAGACCCGCTCTCGCTTCGCTTCGGTGAAGAGTGTAGTTTTTTGGACTTGAGCAATAGATAGCGATTCAAGAAAAAAGTTTAGATGTATTATAAACCTTTCTCGAATAACTCTATCCGTTACTGAAAATTCCATTTAAATCTTTTGTGAACTTAAAAAGATTTATTAATATAGTCAAAATTAATTGAAGAGCTCGATGGCGCAGGTGGTTAGGTTGGAGTTAAGCAACTTTCTCAGTGGTCGGTCATTGGATGGGTGACCAAAAACTTCTATCTCAAGTTCCTCCGTGCTTCGGAAGGCACGTTAAGCCGTTGGTCCCGGCTGCATCTGCAGTCGTTAGCAACCGCCAATCCGCACTGGGCCCGCGTGGTGGGTCATGGCCCAATCTCCTCATCCCATCCATAGGGAAGGCCTGTGCCCCAGCTGTGGGGACATTAATAGGCTGATGATAATGATGATGATGAAGTCAAAATCAAGCCAAACTTACCTTTAACTTTTTGTTGGGCGTACATTCTGCTACCAGTCATTTACCAAAACAGAATTATTCTGAAGCAGGATTCACCGAGTCATTCTTATTTTATTTTTCCAGATAATATAAGAAATTAAAGGAAAATAAAACTTTATTGTCTTCATTGTCCATTTAAAATCTATTTTATATCTCATTACTTCGGAAGTTCAGAATTTATCCAACGGGATATCGGTAATGCTAGACAGCAAATCTATTTTAAAAAGCTTTACATTTATTTCTTCAAGAACGAGCTTTATGTGTTTTTTTTTAAACTGTAAAAATCTCGTGATCTATTAAAAACTAAGATGATCCGACGAAAAGTGTCTTTGATGAACACATCATGCTCCATGCTCAAACCTGGATGAATACTTACTACAGAACTTAGCAAACCCATTTCTGTCGCACAATTGAGCGGAAAATGGCGGAATTAGTAGAATAGAAGGAGGAACTCGATGGCTCAGTTGGTAAGTGAAGCAACTATCGCAAGGGTCGATCATTGGATGGGTGACCACAAACTGATTACCTCGAGCTCCTAAGCCATTGGTCTCGGTCATTAGCACCCACCATCCGCAGTGAGCTCGTGTGGTGGGTAATGCTCTCTATTCCATGCATAGGGAAAGCCTGTGCCCCAGCAGTGGGAACATCAGTAGTCTATTAATGATGAGCAAAATAGTAGCTATACATACCCAAGAATGTGCTTTGTGTTAATCTAAAATTACGCACAACGCAAGATTTAAAATGAATGGACGAAAAGTGTCTTCATACACCAACGGGTGTGTTTCACAAGAATTCAGGAGTTGGGTCCGTGGCAAGATCTTCTAGACCAGGAATGGGCATTATCGTGCCAATATTTACCATCAGAAATATATGGCAGGCCAACTTTTTACTCATGCCATACCATACGATTTGCACCCCCTATAAGGAGAATGTGCGAAGTGTCTTCTTGTTTAACCATTTGTTCCGCGGCAACATCTTCTAGACACACGTCATGCTCCATGCTTAAACCTGGATGAATACTAACTAGAGAACTTGCATAGCAGCCCCTTCCTGTCGAACAGTTTGGCGTCGAACGGTGGCCAGTAGTAGAATAGAAGCTTGGCAGCTGATAACCTCGCTCCCCAAGTCCCGTAGGCGATCACGCATAGAATGTCTTTGACTACCGTCTGTTTCATGGACATTAGACACTCCAGCAGTTGGCAGTGATGAGCTAAAAGGGAAATTTTCACTAATACTCAATACATCTATTTGTGGTGAAGATAAAAATCGACCAGTTTTATGAACCCTATCTGGCAAGAAACTTAAGGCAACAAGGAAGGCAGCAAACTGTTTTAAAAGTTCAATTTATATTTGAATTAATAGGGATGATGACGGGGTACAGTAAACGAAATTCTATTTAGTTCGTCAGTTAAATGATCAAAAAATAATGGACACGTATTTTTTCTTTGGGCAATCAACCAAAAAATTACAAAGTTATAGCGCGTCAAAGTATGGGAGTAGGGGCTCGTGACGTCACTTTTAAGTGAAAATTGTACCATAACGTGACGTCATGCGACTTTTCAAATCAATATATCTCTGCAATGTTTATATTATGTGAAAAAAGAAAATATACGTGTCCAATACTTTTTGATAATCTACCTGATAAACGAAGAAAAAAAATAGTCATCATCGGCATCGCTATTGTTATTAACATCTTAATGACAATTTAAAAACAACAAAAGAGGAAAATAACACTTTATTTGCTCAAAAAAGGAGTAAAAACAGTAGCAAGTACACTAGCTGATAGTATTTTTCTTTAATGTTAAAACAATCACGTACTAGAACATCTTCTAGTGCCGGCTGTTTATGAACATTGTTACACACTCCAAGATTTGGTTGTGGTAAATTGCAAAGCGGAAATTTATCACATTTAGAGTAATTGATAGCAATGTAATTAATTTTTTCGCAACAAATCCATACAACAGCTTTGAAGTCTCTAAAATTCATACAGAGGCTTCTGAGTAGACAAATGCCACTTTGTAGCGACACCACATTATTTTAGATTTGGCTAATTGTTGCCCGAACAATAGCAAATAATTTTTCAACCTACCGATTTGATGGTTTCTATAAGTCATGCCAATCTCGATATTTTTAATTGCCAGCGTAAACAAGTCCTCGTACATTATTAGGGTTCCGTGAGTCAGAAGAAAAAAAAGCGGAACCCTAATGGGATCACTTTATTGTCCGCCTGTTCATTTGTCTCTCAAGACCATTTATCTCGTGAACGCGTGACGGTGTCGAGTTGAAATTTAAAACATATACTCAAGTCTAGGGTCTCTTAGGCCAGTATTATAGAAAGATTCTCAGTGATTCATCTAGTCATGAGCATAGTTAGAAAGGGATGTCGCTATATATAGCACATAGCGATATCCCTTTCTAACTGTACACAAGTAAAGATCGACACTTAGTTGTCATGCTGTAATACGGACCTTAAAGTCGTAAAAAAACATAAGTTAACGAAAAAAGAAACGCGGTCAATTGTTGCGGGTACCTACAAAATTTGTATGGAACCCGCCTGTTTTTTACCTTCAACATAGAAAAACAAAAAATGTTGCATTTATGAATATGTACCTGGGTTACTGGAATGTTGAAACACCATCATGACGATGGCAGCGACTGACTGCGATGCTTGGCTTTCTTCTTCTTGCCCTGAATACCGACGCGCTGTAGCAAATCATTATATAATAATACTAATTTATTGTCTTTTTTACATGCTAACAGATATTTAAATAATATTTCATTAAAAACAAGACAACAGGGAATGGCTCAGCCAATCAAGCCTGGACCGGAAACAACGCTGAACGCAAAATTAATAGTACCTCGAATCCTCGAATTATTAATTTTGCGTTCAGCGTCAGAATAATGATATTTTATTTACTTTGTCAAGCTACCTTCGAAAAAATAAAAAATCATTATTCTGACGATGCAGACCTGAAAGGGCTGCGAAACGTCAATAAATAAATAAAGTTCGTGCATTAACCCATAAAAACTAGTTTTATATAATAGAATAATTAAAATTATTGATAATGATCTTCCTTATGACCTATATGAAATTTATTCCTCATGATTGTTTTATTGTGTGTTCTTAAAGTTGGAAGCTCAAAAGTCTTTTCGATATTCTTCTTCTTCTATTCTGTAATAACGATACTCACTGATAGCGAACAGCAGTATATAGTAGCAGAGAAGATGCAGGATCCTCTGCAGTATACACCCAGGTAAGGTAGGTTGTTGATCATGTCGTACTCATGAACGGAACAAGGATTGACGATACTCACTGATGGTGAACGGCAGTATATAAAAGCAGAGTAGATGCAAGATCTGCTGGTATAGTGACAATAAGAACACTGCCGGTGCGGCAGGTTGTCGATCATGTCGTATTCATGAACGGACCAGGTATTGAAGATACTCACTGATAGTGAACGGCAGTATGTAGTAGCAGAGTAGATGCAGGATCTCCTGGTACAGTGACAACAAGAACACTGCCGGTGCAGCAGGTTGTCGATCATGTCGTATTCATGAACGGACCAGGTATTGAAGATACTTACTGATAGTGAACGGCAGTATATAATAGCAGAGTAGATGCAGGATCTCCTGGTACAGTGACAACAAGAACAATGCCGGTGCGGCAGGTTGTCGATCATGTCGTATTCATGAACGGACCAGGTAATGAAGATACTCACTGATAGTGAACGGCAGTATGTAGTAGCAGAGTAGATGCAGGATCTCCTGGTGCAGGGACAAAGGGAACACTGCCACGCAGTACGCCACCAGGTACGGCAGGTTGTCGATCATGTCATACTCCAAGAATGGAAGCAGACAACCCAGGCATTGAAGGACTGCTTGCCCGAATGCTGCGGAATTGGCAATTTTGCGGTTTGAAGCATGAAGAGATATAAGTCAATGTGAACCTTTAGTTGGGTTTTATTGATATCTATAATGTTTTAAAAGTAGTTGTTTCTAAGTAGAGGTAACACAAATTATATTCACGTCATATATTCATTGAAATGTAAACAGAATTATCTGATAGTTCGATTATAGAAACTTGATGCACGCCAATTGCGCCAAATGGTTTAGCGTTAATAAGAAACTAAGGTACTAAACTAAGGCACCTGGCGGATACAATAGTTACCAAAATAAACTTATTCTCCACCATTTGTCCTTCTGATAAGCTAATTACTTATTTTTTACTATTTGCGAGGTAAACACATCAGCATGGTCACTCCCAGTAAAGTTATGAAGATACGAAATTAAAACACACATTTTATATTGAACCTGCAATAAAATGACATACAATTAAAATTATTACAAACACACTAACCTTGTATTCCGTACTGCAGATGTGGAGCGGCATCAACCAGTTGTGATATGGCATTGAAGAGCCCCTTGTAGTCAAGATTCGGGTACAGGGTCATCCGGTCCGTGTCGTCGTCGGCGTCCCGCAACATCTCCAGAGGCGACCGCGGTACATCTTTAAGAACACCTACACAACGACGCGTTTATTTAATGTTTAAATACACTCGTATATATGGACGCTATATTGTGATTGTTACATACATATGGAGTAGGGCAAGTGAAATCAGGCAAATAAGGGTAGCTGGAGCGGCCGACATGTCTTTCTGTATTTTCAGCATCTAACTAAACCACACTCACTGATGTAAAGTGTGAGTGCAGTTCAGTTTCTGAAACTGAGACTTAGGCTGAGTTGTGTAAAAATGTATAGTGTGGATAATCATTACCATGAAAATTGTTCAACAAAACCATGTGATGAAGAAACCATTCAAAATACTAAAGGATTTTGTAACTGTTTCTACTTAAATAAGATGGAAGACAAAAGTGAAGTGTATTATCAACCTGTGATCTGGTCAAGACGATTGAGATGCCAATAAAATTGCTCGTGCTTTGCGGAACCTGATCTCCCTGTGGAGTTCTGGCGAACATATTCACTCATCGCTGGAAGACAACACTACAGAACAGCATTATTGCTCTACTATCTTCTCAAAGGTGCAGAATGTTTCCCTTAACTGATACTTACTGGACAATAAACGACATGATACGAGAATTAAATGCGGCACGAGTTTCTGCCGCGTCCACCGTGGCTGCTGGACCGCAACTTGCGTAGACTGTAAAATTGTAGACAAAACGCAAAAGCAAAAGTCACGGCGTGATTTGCTGCTGACGCGAGCGGGACGAGATGGCATTTTTCGCCAGATCTCGCAGCCGCCACCAGATCTCGCAGCCGCAGCGGCTTTGCGCGTGAGTTTTGAAATAAAACAGCTCTGCGGCAGCCCGCAACGTATGCGGAAATAAACATCCGCTCCATAAGTTCCTAGTCTTAAGACTCGTTTACACGATGCAATTTTATTGATGATCAGTTGAAAACAAGGATTGCTTAAGAAATTATTCTATGTCCTGTTTACATTAAGAAAGTTTTGAAGCAAAACTTGTATACCACATCAAGAATGTTATGTGCTGTTTAGACCATGCAAGTCATGTATTGCTTCAATTTAATTATATGCAACCAGCAATAAACTTGTATCGTGTAAATGGCGCTTTAGTGTGACTAACACGTACAGCTTCAGCATCAGCTATCTCCGTTTCCATACTCACCTGAATTTAATTTTATGCGACTTTATAAAAATAAATGATATAAAAAATCTGACAAGCTCTACTTACTAAGCAACGTCTGCGAGAAGTACTTGACAGTGTTGGCGATGTCGGTACCAGATGGCAGAGGCTGAATGTTGTGCATCAGACGCAGCTGACAGTCATATAGGCTGCGGATCTTCGCCGTGACTGTCCACATACAGAAATACCTTAAAACACTCATACACTTTTACAGGTACAAGACGCTCTAATGCTCTGCATAATCCTGGATAAGGTCATTAAGCGAAACTGCTGGTATTCTAATTTATATAAGATCATGATAATATTTTAAAAGATTCTGATTTTTACAAATACATCGATAAAAAAATAACTTTTGACACTATGCAATAGCTTAATCTTGCAGTTAACAACTTTTAAAGCGATTGATAGCAGCATGATCTTTATTATTTTGTACGTGAATGGTGTTACATAACTGAAGTATAACATAATTTGGGCTAACTTCAACACCCAATATACTTAAAAAATAATATAGTTTTAATTAAATCAAAGTTTCTGAATTACTTATATAACACATTAAGGAGGTGACATTCTTGATCCATAAAAAATCTAAATAAAATATTGAGTCATATTCTGTAACAAAAGTAATTTTCAAGACAACTAATACTAAAAGCAGTAGCAGGTAGAACAGATCTTGGACAGCCTAACCGATAGAAAGGTGAGCCACACAGACAATGCAGTAACAAACACTTCAAGTACTGTGTTTGCACTACACAAATTCACAACCAATCACAGGCCAGTAATCAATGAACAAATTAGAACTGCATCACATTAGCTTCTTTGACAATCTCAGAGATCAGAAGATATCGTTTCAAATAAGTTAAACATACAAAGTGCTAAATGTTAACAATTACTGGCAAGAAAAACAAGACAGAAAGGGTTGGAACATTTCAACATTAACGGACAGTGCAACCGCAGGACAACCAGAGCAGGGGACAATTAACTCACAGGTCCCCCATATTAGTAAAATCCAAGCAACCAAAAACAAAAAGAGTATTATTTGACTCCTAAACACATTGAATATTGTCTGTATATTATCTGCAAACAATACTGATCTGAATTCCTGGAGCAAATAAAATCTCTTTCATTTATTGATATTAATGAATGGTATTTTACATTTATAGGGTTCTACTACAGCAAAAGACCTAAGACAGATAAGGGAGTTAATGATGCAGTGTAGGACCTAGTATTAAGGACTGCCATCTATTATATATATTTAAAACATCAAATGTTTCTACAGTTATAGTTCTACAGAAATTATTCTGGAGTATTCAGTATAATATTAAATTACCATTTTATGTTTCTATTCATAATAGTGATAAATCTTCAAATAAACAAAAAAATTATGTAACTTTGAGCACTAAATAATACCTCCATTAACCAAAATATTTCTGTTTGCATTTGTATCAATGATTATAACCAAATATTATTCTTTCTTTTCTATAGAGATGACAGCCCTGATCAGACGAGGGGAAACAGTCGTGCCACTGGGGTCCGGTACAGACAGTCCACACCAGATGCAACAGCTAGAGAACGCCCGTCCGTAACGAGCTCACCTTTCAGGTTCAGCGGCTCCAATACAAACTGCATGTTATCTGCCTGCGTAGGCTGCATTAGGACACACAAAAAGCTTTGACTACGCAATGAGGCCTCCCCGATTCAGACGCCTCTGAAAAATCAAATGCGTTAATGTGCATGCAAGCTGCTTTTAGACCGACTCCGAACGAGTTTACTCTAAAAAAAGCAAACTTCAAAATCAATGTAAAATATCTGCTTGAAATAAAAATAAATGGAAATCAAGTTTAAATTTTTCTTCAATTTAACCTAAACCACACCTTAATAAAAAATAAGAATTAAAATAAAATGAGTAAATTATTTAATACATTGTAATTAAAAACTATTTTTTACAAAAATAAGGTATCACTATCCATATAAAACCTATACCCCCTATATTTAAAAGTATGTGGCTCTTTTGATAAACTGCATATGTAATGAAATTTAGTTGGTAATTTAAATTAAGCTACAATTGAATAGTTGCTTAAGCTAAATTACAACGCCACAATCGCACTTCAAAATATAGTCCAATAAACTCTTTTGGAAGGCGGTCTATGAATGATTTTCAATGCTAAAGCTGTGAAGTTTTTAGAGAAAATGCTTACAGGCTGCCGCTCGAGTTCCCATGTTTATAAGTTGAATCTTGAAACTGCCCTGCATTGGAGCGGATGGAACTCGCGGTTATCATGAACGGAAACAATCGATAACCGGCACAAATATGTTTTAGAAAACACGAATGACCGGCTGGGCGAAAGAGATAAGACCTAAATCTAGATTTTCCTTTCTCTTCACGTTATTGATCGATCTTGAAACTTTGTTTATGTTTGACGCGCAGAGCGCGAACAGCTGACGGGACTCGCCCTGAAAAAACTGAAATGTCAATGTCAGTCAAGTGTCAAACCGAAACGTTTCATTTTCTTTTTCTTTCATTCGTTTCGTTTCACATTCAGTTTAGGTAAAAAAATGATTTTTTTTTAATAATCATTTAAGCCCTACCTGCATATCAAACTTCTTTGATTACGTTGTATTTATTGAATGTTTTAGGGCCAGAATATGTACTGCCATAGTGCCTGGATCCCACAGCGTGCTTTCTTACAGGCCATATCGTGCCTAGCCAGGCCGACAGAGGCAGAATTTCACTCACTGCTATAAATGCATGTAGCATTTGCTAAAATAAGGTACATCCTGTCAATAAAGTCATAAAACGAAGGAGGTCCCTACCGTCGCTTACATGGTATCGCCGTTATACATCGATTAACATGCTTTGATATTTGTTTAAAGTAATACTGGTGTCAATTCTGACACGATTCTCTAAACCTAAACTTAAATTTGACAACAGTGTATCCTTGTCATTCTCTATACGGAATGAAAAGGACAGATTGATGTTAAATTTAGTTTTAAGTTTAGAGAATCACGCCAGATTTGACACCACTGTATAATTAAATAAGTTCCATACAACTTTCATATAACTTCCACCATCTTGATGCGTGGCTATCCACAACTTTCCGAGTTTGTCTATTATTTTTACCACATGTCGTATCTTACGTCGTATCGTTCCAAAATCCTGGAATTTGAAAAAAACTGTGGTATACAATGTCACAACTAGAGTTTCCAGACCAATATGACCAGCCGACCTATTCGTTAACTTTTTTTTAATATCACCAAATAGCTCGGTGATTCTCATTTCCATCTTTCAAAAGCAGATAACGAACAGGCGAATAGGCTCCTGGTGTTGCAAGTGTAATAATATATTATTACCGTGCTATGGGCGACGATGATCGCTTACCATCAGGTGCGCCAATAGTTAAATTTTGACTAATGTAATATTTATTTCAATGTATTTGCTCAAAAAATGCATTTACAGGGATTGTATACATTGTTTGAAAATTCAAAACAACGAGCGATACAATGGAGCGTGCGATAAAACCTTAGATTAAAACAAAAAGGGAAGATAAGGTACGCTCATACTAGCATCAAATAAAATATGCTCCGACTCAATTACATAAGCAACTCTCACGCATGCACACTTCTGAAAATAAACATTCAATCGAGCGAACGAGCCAGAATTGTACGCTTCAACGCAGCGCGAGCGAAACGGGGCGAGTCCGCGTAGCTTGGCTTTGCGACTGCGTTTTCTTTTCTCTCTCTACAAACGGCTGAGCTGTATTGTCGTCCTTTTCTTGATAACAAATGGCGAAAAAGTAAATAACCATGACATACCGTGATTTTTGAGATTGTTTTTTTTTTCATAGTTCTACAAATGAAGTGTTGCCGTGGAATTTGTTATTTGATCTTGAACTATTCGTGTTCTTTATAAAAGCATCGAAGGCATTATTTTTTAATGTAATATAACGTGTCACGTTTGTGTACGATAGCGCAATAAATAAATATTGTATTTTACCACATAAATGATAGTACTTTTGTATATGCAGACCCGTGTAAAGACTACTGGGTTTTTGTAAGAAATTAATTAAAGATTTTAAATATTTTATATTATAATTTTATTATATTTGTGTGGTTTGAAAACAATGAAAAAATGCAAGTGACAATGTCAAAAAAAAGTAATTCATAACTTAAATAACAAAAAGGTTTTATGTCGTAGACATAATTGCGCCCGCGCATGAATGCATTAATAAACAAAACAACTTATATATGAAATAACAGTGACTTTTGACAGAAAACATAAGTCCATGAGGGAATGAAAATAAAACGAATTGTATAACAATTAAATGTACAAAAATACATTACATTGAGGCTTAATTTGTATTTAAATCATGCTTCATCAATTGGCAACAATACAATTTTGGTAAAGGCTCGAATGTGTATTTTTTTGTCAGGCGTCATTACCTCAACTACTCTGACTTTAGCATCTTTGCCAGAAAATGTTTTTGTGATCCGACCTAAAGGCCAAAACTGAGGATGAATCATATCATCTTTCAATAGTACCATATTGCCAACTTTTAAATTTGGTTGAATCGTTTGCCATTTGGTCCGTTTATTCAAAGAGACTAGATAGTCCTTTGACCATGCCCGCCAAAAATGCTGTTTGAATTGTTCAATGGACCTCCAAAGAGTTAAATGATTATTAGGAATATGTATTAGCGATGGTTGCGGAAATGTAGTGAACGGGCAACCTATTATAAAATGAGCTGGTGTTAGCGTGCTAAAATCACTAGGATCATTAGACATAGGGCATATTGGACGCGAATTCAAAATAGATTCAATTTCAGTAGTTAACGTAACTAATTGTTCATAAGTATATATTTTTGAACCTAAAATTCGTTTGTAATGATATTTAAAGGACTTTACAGCTGCCTCCCACAATCCACCTTGGTGAGGACTATATGCTGGAATATAATGAAACTGAATGCCCTTATTTGAAGTGTAACCAGAAATAGTACTTTGAAAATCATCATTAGCGAATAAACGGTGCATCTCTTTTAATTTCTTGTCTGCGCCCTTAAAGGTTTGGGCGTTGTCGCAAAAAATATCTGAAGGAAGACCGCGTCGAGAGACAAATCGTTTAAGGGCAGATAGGAAGGAGTTAGAAGTCATGTCAGAGACCACTTCTAAATGCA